AATAATAAAAGACAATCCTACCTGTCCGGCAGTTATGGAACTTTAAGGCATTTTCCAGGCGAAAGGATTTCTCACACGTGTTGCATTTATATTTGTACTCGTGGTCAGGCTGTTGGGAGCACGCGAAAAGAGGACATATAAAACATCTGAACTGACAGGGTTCTGCGGTAACACTTTGATGCGTTACTCACTACGTTCTTGCTGTGCTTATAAGAGATGTGCTGCTTTAGACTCTCCTTGCGACTGAACAACTTGTCACATTCATCACATTTGAACAGCTTATCACCTGTGAGAACACACAAGAAGGCATGCCCAAATTTATAACTTTTTTCGATTTTTGTGATTTCTCAGAAAGAGACGCTGAACCCAACACTGTACCGTGAGATCGGATGTGTCTGTTGAGGTTGCTGCTGTTCTGGAAGACCTTGTTGCAGAGGGAGCAGCGGTACACCCTCTTGTGCTCTCTGGCTTTGTGTCTCTTCAGGACAGCCCCGCTGTCTGGCGCGCTCAGCAGGCTGCTGCTGCTCTCCGCTGCTGACGCCACCTCCGCCGCCTCGGAGGCCACCGGCTCTGAGCTCTGCACCGGGGGCTTCACTTCTGCACACATCAGGAATCCAATGTCAAAGGGAAATCTACAGCAGACGCAGCACCAACTTCTGAGCCCAATAATGATACTGATGTTTGAGATGAATATAAATCTTGTAACAATACATAGTGACATAGTTAGCACAGACTCAGCTGTACACAAAGTACAGCGGAGTCTGATGGGACTTAGTTTTGTAGGTATTCAGTTATAAACCAAAGTAAACCGCAGCCACGCCGCTTCCCCCGGTTAAAAAGACGTAAAAAGACTAATGTTTACTGAAGATGTGTCTTAACATGATATCAAGCGGTTACTCCTCAAATTGGGTCCAGAAAGTACATCACAAATTTTAGGTATATCTTAGTGATATACTAAAGTAGCGGTCGACCGATATGGGTTTTTCCAACGCCGATATTTAGAGAGCAGGGCGGCCGATGGCCAATATATAGTGCAGATATCAAATCATAGATTGGGCTATGCTGTAGATTTCAAAACGTGACTGGTGTTTAAGGGAGAGTTGCATTATTTTATATAGTATAACAATATACTGTACTTTCAACGCTAGCCAGTAACGGTGTTAGTTTATATCTGCTGTCCTTTGTGACGGGAGAAACACGTTGACATTTAGAAGAGAGAATGGTGAATTTAGGGGCTCTAAACCTTTTCACCACCTTCCCAAAACTCACCAGGCGGCGCGCCAACGTCGTTCCACAGCAGCCACACTGACATGGCTGCCTGCAGATGTGTCCACAGACATTTTTTGTTTGCCTGCCTCGAGAGTGCAGGTATCCGCCGATGTGCCGCTTCTCTCAAAATACCAAATATTGGCCCAATAAAAATCGGGCAACTGATTGTATACTTACATATGCATATCACAAATAACCACAGTACCTTTGAGCTGTTCTTGTGTTGTAGGCTGGATTTTTCTGCTCAAGCCAGACTTTCTTTTCATTTCTCACCTTTGTTTTTGCTCGCTGTTGCCGTAGCTCCAGGCCTGCGTCCCTTAGCTCTCCTCCCTCGGCCCTGCCCTCTCTTGGGGCCCGGTCGAGCTGCCAGGGGGTCACGCTCCTCTTCGTCGGGGCCGACCGGACTCTCGTCCTGGGGCGGGTGCGGGTCGACTGGGAGCACCGTTGCCGTCTTCACCTCATCGAGGTGACTCAGCATATTGCCTGCGATCGACAGAAGGAAGTCGGGAATGAGAGCGTGGGGGTCAGCTTCCCTCTTAATGAAATAAGAACATTTCTAAGATGTACTGACTGTGTTTTGAGCTTACCTGCATTGTGTTCTTCAGCCACTGGGGGCATGGGGGCGCCAGTTTTCTCTGAGGTCTCTGTTTTAGCAGACGAAGACATCACATCTCAGCAAAAGAGAGAAAAACTACAAGTTACTGTTGCCAAGGCACCCTACAACAGCATCGGTGCTGCAGAGTCACCTACCTGATGGAGGTGGCGGTGGCTCAAGTGGAGGCTTAAGTGTGGACTTCTCCATCTTCTTGGCATAGAAAGCTCCGTACCAGACCCTCAGCTCTGTTCCTGGCAGCACATCCTGGGAAACAAACAAACAGGGGCCAAAAGGAAGAGTACACCAATCTCCTATTAGAACTGAATGAGCTGAGGAAATGAATCCCTGAAATCTTGGGCAAACAGCAGCGGCCCCTAAAAGCTCAGGTCTACCAAGTACCTGGGAGGTGTTGAAGTACACGCCATCGTCCTGCTGGTAGGCCGTCAGATTCTGGTGTTTGTGGTCAGTGGCAGGTCGTACCAGCATCATCCAGTTGCAGTCTTCCTCGCTGCTGGAGTCAAAACACACCACCACGCCATCCTTCTGGAAGATCTGCCCATTGAAGGATCAAGGATTAACAAGAAAGGAATCTAAGAAATAGCAAAGACAACTATCACGTCCGTCGATTTACAGCGCAACAGAGCATCAGGTGCGTCCTCTCTGCGTGCAAACTCGGTCAGCACCTTCAGAGGGAACGCTCCTTCCTTCTCCAGATGGGGGACCCTTTTAGCTTCAAAGGGCCCAAAACGGGTCCTCTTGACCAGCCGGCGCAGAACGAACACGCCCTCCTCCCCGTCAGCCACATGTCTGATCTCCAAGCTGTTTGGCAAAGACGACCTGATCCAGGACGAGAAGGACGGAATGGCAATCACACAACAATAATCCAAAATTAAAAGTACTTCACCTCGTGTTCTAATAATCTAGCATGTGCGTGATGGAACTTCAAGTGCCAGAAAGTCACTATTACTCGCACACACTCTCTTCAAGGCCTATAATATTTATAACATGAATGAAATCACTGGTTTGACTGCAGACGCTCCGTGTTGTCACTCACCGGGCCCGGCTGAGGACAAAGGAGTCCGGGACGGTCACCAGCGGTCCCAGCTCAGGACACTCGGAGTCATGGTACTGGCCACAGTCCTCACACCCTGCGAGACACACACACACACACACACACACACACACACACACACACACACCTGTCACAGCAAAGTCTCACAGTTTGCCAGTACAGGTGAGAGCTGGATTCATACTCACAGATGAACTCATCTGGCGTCTGCTCAGCCATTATGCCAACCTGCAAAGAGAGGAAAAGACAGCTTCTGTCATGCTATTAACAGGAAACAATGATCAGGGCAGGGGGGAGACCTGACCCGAGATCAGGTCCTGCAGAAGAGGAAACGTACATTTATATAAAGGAACTACTTTTAAGAGTGTGTTAGAATGTAATTGAACTTCCAAGCCTGCATACGCGTTTAACGTGGGACGCATAGGAATGCATCAGACCTCCTGGCTACACAGCGGCGTTATTATGACTACATTAACTGGTTTAAGCGATACAGTTGGAGCAGGCATTATTAACATATGCAGTCCGGGCAGGAGAAGGGATCCAGGATTTGAGTCGTTCCCAAACTCTAGCCGGGTTTTAACTCCGATCTGAGCGGCCCCTCTTCAGCAAAATGTAACAAAGAACAGTCGGCATGGCGGATGGACCGGAGACTCAAGCCACCAAACCGGAGTCGATGCTCTTCAACGCCATGCAGTCAGCGGAGGAGGCGGCGCAAGAGAGCCCCGAGCGAGGCGACCGCACCAGCTGCAGCTCGACTACAACCCTGCGTCGCCATTTTGAGTGAAATTGGTGCACATTTATGGGAAAACACGTTACCTTCTCTGCAAAAGACCCTTCATTTATCGGATCCTGACTCCGGGTTCCAATCCGCTCCAGAAACGGCGCAAGACCGGAAACGAACCGCGCCCAGTGCATTATGGGCAATGTAGGCTCATCAGAATGGATGTAAACAACTCAATCAAACATTAATTAGACGATTATTGGTTTTACTGTAGGTCGTTAAACAAAGGAGGCATAAAAGGCAAATTCAAGTACTTGAATTTAAAAAATGTATCCCCTTTAATTCCCATTAGATGTTATTATTGGTAGTAATGGTGTAAATTAAACCCAGGTAACCCCACATACAGATCTGAGTAGTACATTTTTATTTACAGCATTATTCTACAGCTTTTACTATACAGCAGCTTATGTAGGGGAAGTCTTCAGGTATTTTACTTAAGATTAATTATACAACGACGTAAAAAAAACAGAAGTTAAAGTGTTGCATTCAATATACTAAGTAAAAGTCAGCAAAATGTATATTAATGTGAAAGCAACATTTTTCAGATAGCTGTTGGAGGTGGAGATGATTTTAACTACTTTGCTGGTTAAACTGCTAAACACTTTACCTTTACTCTTATAAATCCATTTCTGTTTGTAATTTAATCTTAATAAAATTAAAATATTATCTTAATATTAAATATGTTAATATCCCTACTACACTGGCCGTTTCACTTTTTACGAGACTTTTTGAGGAATCAATACCAGACTCAAATGACTTCATGATTTTTACTGCATGCACCATGCTAGAAGCTAATCTGCAAAAGAACTTATTTATTTTGCTATTTGATTCACTTCTATTTCTAGAGCACCTTTTCATAACAGAGGTTATCTCATTGTACTTTTCAAACAGAGCAGGTCTAGACTGTGCTCTTTGTAATATTATTTGCAGAAACCCAACAGTGCCCACCACGAGGAAGCACTTAGCGACAGTGGCAGGGCCTTTATATCCGACTGTAGCTGTCAGATAAATGCAGTGCAGAATAAAGGACAATATTTCCCTATGAACTGTATTGTAACAGTGTATAAAATGGAAATATTCAAGAAACAGTATTGCTGAACTGTATTTAAATACTTTCAACAACTGCGTTATTTTCAGCCAGCAAAGTAGGACACTGTTGACCATTCATGAACAAAAGCCTCTGTAATAATTCATGTGAAATACCATATCAGCATGTACAGGTTTACAAGTGACAGAAGCACTGGAGAGAATTCACTACAGCACTACTACAGAAAACGGCACCACAGTCACAGTTATTCAATCCATATTTATTGCTGAAAATGAAATAACTCGATATATATATTAGTTACAATCCCTGCAGGGAAGTGACTGACATTCTGCAACAACAGTTAGGTCAGTCAGTTTCTGTGCACAGAGCAGATGCCAATGATAAAAAATAAAAACACACGCACACACACCAGGAAGCAGTTTATTAATCACATACAGCCCTACTGCTCACTGAATGCACAACAGCAGCCACTGCTAGCAGGCTGCCATAAGGAAGGGCCCTGAAGCGGAGCGTAATTAAAACAACCCGTTTTCCCCCCTCAGTAAAGGTGATTTCTGTGTGAATGGTAACAGATTTTTCTGCAGCCTGAATCAGACTGCAATCCGTGGTGGTGGAAGGGTGCAGGGTGATGAGAAGTGATCGCAGCTCGATTGTGAACTGTAAATACCAAGACACAAAGACAACCCACGCTGGCTCTGCAGTGTAGTGTTGTCATTAACAGCGAGTGAGTGTTTTTAATCTCTGAGTCTAATATTAATAATGATGTAAACACTCAGTTATCAGATATGTTATGTGCATAGGCTTCTTGATTATAGACATTGCAGATGGTGCAAAAACGTGACGGTACACTTGTCTCTCAGAGCCAATCCAACAGTGCGCTTCTGTCTTTAAATCCTCTGGTCTGAAAGTCACATCAAATAGAGGAGAACAAGTCCACCCGTGACATCATCCTCAGGATAACTCTAAGGCAATCTGTTAGTTCTGCCTGCTACTGTGCTGCATCATTTCTCTGAGCAGATTAACTCACTGACAAAACATTAACAGGATGTACAGAAATATCTTCAACAAGCTGCTTACAAAAAGAAAATACAATCATTAGCTGGATAAAAAAAAACAAACAGCCACTACTAGCCAACTATTTGGTTGCCCCCAAATGTGTTCACCCTTTCTCTCGTTCATGTGTTCATAGCTACATCCTTTAAAAAAAATAAAACATCAATTAAAAGAACGACGATTTCATTCGGTTGAAAAGCAGGATTTAAATGAGCCTAGAACAAATTTCATTAATGCGACAAGTAGTGTAACGTCACAGTCTCTGGATAAAGGTTCATACGGTTCCCTTTTGACACATTAACAGCCCTGCTGATAACAGTAGTGTGCAGGAGGAATCTTTTAGGAAGACAAAGAAGAAAGTTGCATATCGTTTGAAAACACAGCAGAGAGGAGTAAACACAAAATGCTTGCATACAGCGCGAGCTTCACGTTAGCCACACTGCTTGTCTTGTTTCCTGGTTGGAAGGGTGTTATCTCATGTTAATGGCCGGCGTTGCATGTAAACATGTTAACACAACCTCTGTACATGCCGATCATAAATAACTGGTTCTGATATCTTTTTAATGAGGTTGACATTTTCCCAGATAGCTTTGTTTTACAGCCGTTACACGCAAATGACATATGGCTGTTCTTCTGATCTCATTTTATTAGGAACAAAATTAAAAGGACTTTTAATGAATTGATATAAAGACCACATTTCATAGAATTAGTGTCAAAAGTAGTCGTGTCACTCCCACTTGCACCGGTGGTGCGGCGACAATATCATCTCCCTTTGTGAATGTTGTTAACACAACTCTCTACCACAAGAGTAGCTCCTGTCATTGCACTTTAAATAAAGGGTACTCAAATTGTGCAAATCATACAAACACCGCTCTTTTCTTTATCTTTGGTCCTGTTGGTCCACCGGAGGAAATTACGGTTTACAGCAGGGAGACTTTACTCTTTACCCACAGTGGCAGTGAGGTAAAGATTGACGGCCCACACCAGTCCCTTCTGTCAGTAACAAGGCCACAAAAGCACTTAAAGATTTCAAAATGTTGCATAAAAATCAAGAAAACATGCAATACAATATCCTCTGAAATGCCATTAATTCAAGACAGGTAGACCTTCATCCACACACTTGCTTTTGGTGGAATATCCGTTTCTTATAGGAAGCAGGAAATGGCAATAGAAGAGGGGGATATTACTCCATCTGCACAGCTTTCCCAATCACAATGCAGGAGCCCCACTATGCAAGTCGGGCATTTAGGGAGTAGGTTAGCCAGGAAGTCTACCAGTGAAAGTTTGAGGTGGAAGTGGCGACGGTAGTTGTTGTAGGAGGGAATGAGGTGAGGGGGGGTTGGGGTCACGCATGTGGCTCCCCGATGGAGGTAGAGCCATTGGCTTTGCCCTTATTCTTACTCTTACGGTTGAGCATCCGGCTAAGCGTGGCTGTTCGGCTGGCTCGCTCCACTGCAGCCGGAGACTCCAGGTAAACCAGGTCATTGTGTGACTGGCTCATCCCCGGGTCCTTGCGCTGGTGACGCCGCCGGAAGAAGAGCTTGGCACTCTTCTGAAGGAAGCTCCCTGTAGATTAGAAAAAAGAAAAAGGTCAGGAAATAATTATTGCGAATGACTGTGTCAAGATGACACCACTCAAGGCTAAATAAAACAGGTATGAACAATATTCATTTGAAGTATCTGAAGAAGTAGCAATCTGAAGACAGCTGAAGCAGCAGTGGCACAGAATTTGTGTTAGTTGGAAATTGTTGGTTATTGATGATGAAAAAAAATCTTTCACTACTCGTCTTTCCTCTGTCAAAGAGCTCTGTCAAGCTTTGGATAGTGACAAGAGACTGTGCTTAATCACCAGCTAACACACACTGAACTGTACCACCAGAGAGCAGCCACAAGGTCCAACCTCACTACAAGCGCATTCTCTCCTTTCAGCACATAAGGAGTTTCTGGGATTTGCTAATTTCTGTGGATTAGATTAGGTTGATATAAAACAACATAAACACTATGAAAACTAATTAATGACAAATTAGGAAAGTAACATCAGTATCCTACATACATAATAAATGCATACATCAGAAGGCTGAACAATATACTATACAGCAAAATGAGAAGATGTTTGATCTCCATTTGTGTGATATTTTACTCTGCAGTATATTTATAATGTTATTATGGACTGAAACTGTGAGAATGGTCTTTGCCACTTTTAGTCCCAGTGCACATGGCAAGGGAATATCTGAAAATACTCACAGCACTTTGTCTATATTGTGCAGCCCCACAAGTTCTAAATTGAGCAACTATATGATCTAATTTCTAATAGATTTTACATGAACTGAAAAATGAACGTGACATTGCAGAAAAACTATGTTATCTACTCGACCGATTGCTAGCAGACACTACACATACTAGAGTTCCAAGGATTCTAGTAACTCACAAGTAACTCATGAAGTAACTTACTCATCTGGATATAATGTCTGCTTAGCACTGCCTTCCTCTAAGATGGCAGTGATGACAGTTCAAAGAGGAAAGGTTGAAACAGTAGGAAGGAAAGAGAGAAAAGAACATGTAAACAGACTGCATCACTGGGCAGCGACGGCCGTGAAAACAATCAAACTGATAAAGTTTTGTCTGTAAGGAATTATGTTTTGAGAGGATTTTAAACATGACTTATGGAATAATACGGCCAGAAAAGACCAGCCATGTCACCATGTCCACAGTTACTCGCGAGTCCTCTCTGTGACCTCTCACCCCTTCTCTTCTTGCAGCTTGCCTCGGACACACACAGGGATAGTGAGGTGTGGACTAGTTCCTCCCCGGTTTGGCTCTCCCAGTCCTCCGGAGGCCGACCTATTCCACTGGGGCCTTCCTGGGGCTCAGACTCTTCTGGCGGGCTGCTGGTCCCTGACGCGATCGCTGTGGTCATATCCTGAGTAGAGCTGCCCTCTGACATCGAGGCGTCCATCGCTGCAGCGTAGCCCGCCATCAGAGCTAGCTCATCATCCTGAGACAAGGGCGTCTGGCAAATTAAGCAGATTCGCGTAGTTAAAATGTATTTCTAGTAAAAAGATAGCTTTAATCATTGGCACATTTAGTGCACTTCAACAACACTGGGTATCTGTTGCTGCTCCGGGCATGGCACACATTGTTTTATTTAAGATCTACTTCCTTCCTCTGTCTTCATGATCAACATGTCGGGGGACAATATCTTAAAAACTGTGGAAACTTATTTCCAGAGAAGCAAACACTTGTGACTGACCACTCATCGTCTCATTTAAACCCTGTATATGAAATAAGTGAAACTGTTCAACTAAAGTGAAATAAAAGAAAGTGAAACAGTATAATGCACCAGTGAAGAGTTCCTCTGGTACTGGAACTTACTTTGGCGATGCCAGAGATGATGATGGTACTCTTCTTCACTGGGGACTTGAGCTTCTGCTTGGCAGACTGGTGGAGTTGTCTGATGGCGGCCTCGGCCACCGGGTCCGTGCCATTAAGCATCAGCAGCTCAGTATCAGAAGAGGACAAGGCCTTGCTGACCGTGGCCCCTAGCATGGACGTGTGCTCTGAAACGCGACGCTCTGACAACTTGGGCTTGATAGTTGCCGCTTTCTGGGCAGGATCTGAGGGAGCACAAAGTCATCGACTGCTTCATGGGCATAATGGAAGTTCAAAACATTGTTAACAATGTGCATTATGGGCCAGATTTTATAAAGGTTTGTGTGAGTAAAAAGGTGTGCAAACTTGATATCACCAGCAAATTAACACATAAGCTGATTCTGATTGTGAAAAGTAATGGGAATGTAACATGCAAATAATTTACTACATGCAATGCGATCTAACAAGGCTAACGGCAATTTCATGCGAGTACAACCGCATCTGTATTTAATACGTTTGAAAGGAAGGTGCAAACCAAAGTGTTGCGAGGAGATGGCTGCTGTTATTGTTAAGAAGGAGGCACAGGCGTAATGAATGAAGAAGAGGTAGAGAAAGGGTTTTTTCCATTCGTGTCAATATTTTTGGCATGACTGGGGAACATATAACGTGCACATTTCGCCTCTCCAGCAATGCCATATTGGAGCTGACTTAAGGGCTGATTTGGAGCCAGTTACAAGGAGTAGTCAGCTGAGGGGAATGGGGCGTTGGGGCGAGAGACCGGGCACGCTGCGGACGGTTGGTGTCCCCTCTGGCTGGATGAAGCATGACACTCCTTGATTTTACGCATGATCCATGATGATACAGAAATATAGAAATTAATGACAAAAAGCATACTCTCAATATTTTAGAGACCCCCCAAAATTTCACAAATCATGTTTTTAGGGGAGTTCATGTCTTATTCCCCCTGGCTCCCCGTTGTTCACACTCTGTCTGGGTCATTCCAGCACACTGTATCTGTTTCTGCTGGGGTTTCCCAAAGCAGTTTTTCACGTGTGCTGTCCCAAGTACTTAGTGCAATCTGAGGCAGGATGGGCAGGTACGTATGATTTCCACATACTTCGGACACACTGAATGAATAAAACAAGGTTTTTACGCAGTGGCTGTTTTCCCTCCTGACTTTCCATGGCGGAAACCATTAAAACACGCAAAACCCTCATTTAAATACTGCCTACTCCATTGTGTTTGCACCTGTTGTCACATACGCAATAATTCTTAGTTGATCACCCATAACAGGTACATTGCACATGCAATATTTTAGAATGCACACGCACTTTTGTACTCTTTATTCTGGGTGTTAGTAAATCCGGCCCTATGAGTTGGAAAAAAATATGCATTTTCAGGTGTTTTTAAATAAAGAGCCTTTTTTCACAGCAGACATTTTGACATGTGATAGCAGGAAACATGCAGCTCTTACAAATAACATTAACGGTGGCCCTGTTCTGTCTGCTCTATTCAAGTGTCCAAATAAATGTTACAGTGTGACAGCGAGCCAGCATGCACAATACTAGGACCCCAAAACTGGAGCAGCTAAACGGAATTCAACCATGATGTACGTTATTATTTTCACTTGTGCTTCTTCTACTGTGGCATGTCGAAATGTCTTCCATGAAAAAGGCCTATCGACGTCTCGACTGTCTTTCTGCTATTGTTTAGGATTGGCAAATGTATGTATGTCATAACACTAACACCAAACTGCTGAACTTATTGTGTAGATGTAGTGTCTATAGGATTTTTTTTAGATATAGATCTCTTTGTTTTTGTACTACTTAGCATTGCATGTTTAATAAGAAATGTCTTGCCTTTTCCTCTCTAGACCTATTTAGGGATGGGACTGGTCTAACAGTGTATTTGAACTGTTGTAATTCAGTTTTAGATTTTATCAAACAGAAACCTCTAATTACTCTATTTATACTTTGCATTATTTTGGTGTCCAAGGTATCAGGCCCCAACTCTCATTGATATTGTAATAACAAGACTCACGCTAGCTGCTCTGTGAGGACGTACTTAGGCTGAATACGAACAACTTTAACATGCAAATGTTTAGCAGGTATAATATGCACATTGCCATCCATAGAGCCAGCCTCTGTTTAATGTCCTAGTAGGATCTTTTAGAGATTTTATTGCAAAATTTAAAATTTTTAAAAAAAATATTTTTTTTTAATGGTGATGCCATTTGCAGGAATTTGTATACAAATTGTATGGATTAAATCAATATTAAGATCATTATAACAGCATTATCTCAGCATGAGCAACAGCATATTTAAAGGGGAAACACATTTTCAATGCTCAATGGCATCATCATAAGTCAGAAGTAGAATAAGAGGCTTGTTACCAATATCAGCCACTGCACCATAGATCTGCTGGGTGCTGATAACTCTGGTTTTCAAAACTGAAATGCCAGCCTATACTGTTGTTTTGGAACGGTCTGTGGACATTTGAAGGCACACACTATCTCTTTGCATCAGCTGTTTTTACTTTTTTTTCTAACAACAGCATCACTTGAATAAATAGAAACCTCCATGAGCCTCCCTGCAGTGTAACTTGTTTGGTATGAATTATGAGACACATGCCTTCTCTGAAAAAGACCGGTCTCACTAGTCTTGAAGGTTTGCAGTGCTATACCTATGTTGAGTCCAAGAGGGAGCAGTCGACCCGGCTTGCTCTTCACTGCGGTGATGGTGGTGACCACCGTGCCACAGGGCATGACTGTACGGTCCATCTCCACCCTCTTACTGGAGGCTGGGGTGGGAGGGTGCCAGGACCTCACCTCACTGGGCTCCAGGTAGGTAAACTGAAGGACACAATTCTCCACAGTTAATATTCTAACTTTGTGTACGTGATAACCTCTGATATGTGAAAAAGAAGTAAACTATATCTGTTGATATAGGATAACATCCCAATGTTAACTGGGATAACAGTCTTACGTCAGTAGTAAGTGATCCAGTCACTATGTCTTTGGTCATGAGTGAAAATGTTTGCTGTCCTTTGGGATGCTTCTTTACAAGATCAAAAGGCACTGACACTTGACCAAGTAAGGAATCTGAAAATAAGAAAAACACACCAAATTTAGTCTGGTACTACCAGAACATGTGACAGTCAAAGTTTGGCAACAACAACAACAAAAAACCTCTTCTGTCATAATGACTAAAGCACAAATATCAAAAGGCAGCCAGTCATTTCCTTACTCTCTTGAGGTTGTCCATCATTCATTAGCTGCACATTGAGCTCCTTTGAAAGCCCATTCAATTCACTGGTGAGATAGAAAAAGAAAATATTAAAATGCATTACTTTGCAAAAACGGCGATTGTTTGAAGCATGCTATGGTAAAGCTTACAAGATAAACGGCTGGTCCCAGGCAGGAGTGCTTGTGTTCTTCAAAACAGAGGTGTTAAACCTCTGTGGAGGATCATCCAACTGCAGTACACACAGAGGATTCATGCTGCCTACAAACACAGCAGAAAACAATCAGCATCACAGTCATTTACAGCTGATCAAATACAACATGCTGCTGCTGGATTCAATTTTGCTTTGGTCACTTCCACTGCTTCACTTGAATGGGCAAAGGCAAGGTCAGCGTATATATGATAAATTATACATAGGGTAAAGGGCACTCACAAAGTGCTGGTTGAAAAATCTCCCTCAATACATGTGATGAAGCCTATTTCATGGAGGACTTAAACTGACAGTCATTAGCCACAAGCCAGGCTCCAGTACTGTGAAAGCATCGTGTCTTACTGGATACAACATCAGCAAAAACCTAAAGACAGAGCATCCACTGCAGCAGCTCTGGATCTGGCTTCTAGCCGACAGGAAGTCTCACAAGTGAAGCTAAGTATAACTGCTGTCCACTTAAAGGAAGGAAAATAGATGGTGAAGTGCTGAATGCTGTGTCATGTCTCTGCTGTACAATATTAAGTTTTGGGAAGGACACAACTAGAGAATGACTCAACACAGGAACTACCAAAACAAAGTTGTTGTCGACGATGTTAAGGTCTAAGACTTCATCGCTAACAACTATTTTAACAGCCTTTCATCAACTCAAAACATTTTGTCTTCGAGTTTCCTGGCTGACACTCACTGATCATAGGGGAGTCTTGCTTCTGTGCAGGTCTGTGCCACCACACTGGCTATAGCGAGTGTATTATTAATGATGATGGTGGGTGTTTTGTTAATATACTGCCAACACTGTTGAGGTTTAAACAGTAGATTACCACCTCTGAGAGCCAACTGGCAAACAAATCTCAGAAAACAAGTCTTAATATAACATCATTGGAATATTATGCATTTGAATTGACAAAATAAGTGAAGCTGGAAATATTTGCACTCAAGCAGGACCAGCAAGTGATTGAGCTGATTTGCAAAATGCCATATATGTAGTTTACTTCAGTATAACCCTTTCTTTATATTGATAATGCAATTAAAGGAAAAGTTTGATATTTGGGGAAATATTTCTATTAGCTTTCTTGCTGAGAGTTAGAGAAGAAGACCAATACTAAACCAAAGTGCAAATAAGCTGTGGCTATATGGGGGTTATGTGCCCAAGTTATTTTTTGGTTGGTGGCAGTGACTTCTTGAAGTCTTTACTGGCTGCTTGCAAACCTCATGCCGACGACAAGAAGTCATAGCGTCCAGTCAAAGAAACAGACAGACACATAACCCTCACAAAGCGTTTGGTTTTTGTACGGATATGAAATTTGTTTACCTTTGGACAAGGCCATGCTGGCCCATTTCCCCTTTTTCTAGTCTTTGAGCTGAGCTAAGCGTCTCATGGCTGTGGCTTCATATTAAACAGACTGTGCTAACGCTGCAAGAGAGCGAATACGCAGATTTCCTAAACTGTTCCTTTAAGGTTGTGTGGTCTTCTCCGGCAACTTTCTTGACACAGCATAGGTATAATGCAAAAGATTTCACTTTTTTATATGTACAGGGAAATGGAAGTGCCTTAATAAAAATACTAATTATTCTTTGTACTGCACCTTGTGTTTCCTCTTACATTACTGGGATGAACCTTAGGTAAATATGATTTGTTGGAAGGAGGCTGATGGATGGAGTTTATATGGCTATTGACACAGGATAAAGCTTGGAAGAAACATATCAAACACATCTTTTCTAGAGCTGTCAAATGTTTGCATTTCTTTGAACTGATAACCATAAGCCAGAGTTATGACTGCAATGTCGGTGTGAGTTGACCACTTGCCCACAAGGTACAGAGGTGACTGAGGACGGTTTATGAGCTCAGGACAGAATAAAGACACTAGCTACAGCTGTTTCATCAGAACCTGCAGCATCTTCCTCCTGATTCAGTGTCACCCGGATGTTCTTCACCAGCAGTTTCCAGTCGTGAGCACGGGGGGGTTTTGGGGGTGACACCACGTTGTTGCGGGCATCCTATTAGAGAAACCATAGTAAGTAAATAATTCCACAATGTCGACCGATTGGCTGCAATATAAATTGCAACATGTACCATACCTTATTAGCGGCTTTTTATTATAGAAGTGGCACAATGCTACTGAATCAAAAAGAAACTTTTCAGTAGATCAAATTGTATCATTGATCTTAGAAGATATCTACAACATGCTTTTGTGTAAATGGTGAAGTGTCAGATCCAACCCCCCCATTTCTTTATAGGAGAATACAACTACAGCCAGCTTCTCAACATCCAAGGTACAATGTGCATGTATTCATAGCATTCTGTGTGACAAAGACAATATAACAGTAGTTTGCACAAGAGGGGAGGACTCTATGAAAAACAACCCTGCTGACAGAATGTACTCTGTATTTGAATAGTATTTTCATAATGACCACTAGACTAAAATGTGAACACAAGAGTATAACACAAGATCAAATCAGAAACATGGCATGCCATGACATCCGGTGATGGCTGGGCAAACGGCGTGTCACCAAAAACCTTTTTGTAAATGCATGTCAGCATAATACACTGCTCAAAAAAATAAAGGGAACACTAAAATAACACATCCTAGGTCTGAATAAATGAAATAATCTCATTAACCTTCTGGCCCCATCATGGTCATTTTTGATCTGAGATACACTAAACGTCGTAAAATATATAATGAGGCCAGAGGGTTAAATACTCCTTTCTTTACATAGTTGAATGTGCTGACAACAAAAATCACACAAAAATTATCAATGGAAATCAAATTTATCAACCCATGGAGGTCTGGATTTGGAGTCACACTCCAATTCAAAGTGGAATACCACACTACAGGCCGATCCAACTTTGATGTAATGTCCTTAAAACAAGTCAAAATGAGACTATGTCACATCTGTCACATGTGCTCAGTGTGAACCTGCTTTCATCTGTGAAGAGCACAGGGCGCCAGTGGCGAATTTGCCAATCTTGGTGTTCTCTGGCAAATGCCAAACGTCCTGCACGGTGTTGGGCTGTAAGCACAACCCCCACCTGTGGACGTCGGGCCCTCGTACCACCCTCATGGAGTCTGTTTCTGACAGTCTGTTTCTTTTTGAGCAGACACATGCACATCTGTGGCCTGCTGGAGGTCATTTTGCAGGGCTCTGGCAGTGCTCCTCCTGCTCCTCCTTGCATAAAGGCGGAGGTAGCGGTCCTGCTGCTGGGTTGTTGCCCTCCTACGGCCTCCTCCACGTCTCCTGATGTACTGGCCTGTCTCCTGGTAGCGCCTCCGTGCTCTGGACACTACGCTGACAGACACAGCAAACCTTCTTGCCACAAATTGATTGTCAATCAGTGTTGCTTCCTAAGTGGACAGTTTGATTTCACAGGAGTGTGATTGACTTGGAGTTACATTGTGTTGTTTAAGTGTTCCCTTTATTTTTTTGAGCAGTGTACATTTGATGCATTAGTGCAGCAGAAACCAGCTGAGAACACAGCACTGACAACTCCTCACCTTGTAGGCAAACAGTTGCTTGTTTACATACCCAGCAGAGTAACATTATACTTCCTTTAGAGTGGTGTTTGTGTTACCTGATGAATGTAAATCAAATATTTACTCTCTTTTAGCTCCATTTTTGATCTCTAACGCTGGTCAGCTCTTTAGCTACCAAATGGTCCACTAGTCAGTTAGTCGCTGATGTTTGTCTCTGCTGTTTGGTGCTGAGTGAGTAGCACAGAGTGGCTTTTTAGAGCTTTTTTGCTGAAAATATCTGCCATCTGCAGCCGAAAAACATTATGAGAGTGGCAAGAGTGAAACAAAACAGAAAGGTTTTGAGCTGGTCAGCAATACAATTTAAAGAAACTCACTATGAAGCTCCATAAAGGCCAGGGCAGCTACAGATTCAGCTGATAATACTCTGTAGATTCATCACCACAAGTAACCACTTCCACATTTCAGTGTTGTTTTCTCTGTGTCATTCAATAATTTTTTTTTGGACAAATACAGATTATAGCCACTTTAAGGTCTATTTGTCAGTTTGCAGCATACTGCAAACAACGACCTGGCGTGACAGACTTGCACACACTTGTCTGCTTGGCGTTCTTGTGTGGCTGCTGTTAAGATGTCATTCATCAGGCTCCTCCACTCACCTTGACCTCTGAGGCCTGAGCAGGCCTGCAGCCCAGCAACACAGAGGGACGCGTCACACATAGCAGCTGCCTCAGCTGCTCCTTTATCGCTGCAACACTGGAAGTGTTGGCATTGCCCTGATAGAAAGAGGTCACGGTATCAGATAAATCACACACATATTAAAACTTCATTGACAGTATTAACACAAATACATAACCTCCTTTGTGTGAGCACAAAAAACAAAATACACCTCACTTTAAATGTTACATTTTATTTTTTTTTACTTTACTGGCCTGACGCAAAGTAAGGTTTTTTATTTTTGACAAAATCTTGCTATAGATTTTCAATAAAATCTTCAAAACAACAACAACAACAACAACAAACAAACAAAAACCTGTTTCAGTGTATCAGAACTAATACAGACAGGAGGTACATCCCTTTATCTGCAGCCTAACAATTACCTGGGTGAAAGTGGGTGTCACCTGCAGCTCCCCTGTCTCCAGGTGAGACACTCCCCAAGTCACCTTGATTTCATCTTTAGCTTCTTGCATCTTTAGATCAAGCTGAGGAACACAGAGAAAACCATATTTGCCTCACAATGTCATGGTGATCAGAGGTCATACACTGCTCAACAGCTTCACTTACAGTAAATCTATACAATAAACATAATGAGTTCAGGATGTTTAAACTTACAGTTTCAAAGTTAATTGGGGATTAACATGGTTTAAACAAATCCCAGGATTATTGTGGCTGCAGAATGTTCTGTAATTCATACAACTTTTTTAATCTTTGTGTCCCTCACTTGAAAATAAAGTACTAAATTACACTGCACCAGTTTTTTATATATATAGATTTGTTAATGTTAATTTGTTGACTCACTTCAATGGCAGTAAGCAAGTTTTTTCCCCGTGTAATTACATGGAAATTGTCTTCATTGTCTTTGTTTTATAAACTTCTTCCTCTTAAATCATGTTTTGTATACTAAGTCAGTGTAAGTAAACACTGAAATGATATGACCATTAACACCCACGCACTGGTCAACACCATACACTGTCCAACAAACTTCTGCAATTCCTCTATGGTCATCCTGACAGACCGGTTAAGTAGAGAATGTCAGCAAGATGTACATCTACATCTAGCTCAGCCAAGAAAGAAAATGAAAGAAGGAGAGAGAAATGAGAAAGACAGAAAACCAACTAGGCCATCCTGTCCCAGCATGCCTGGATTCCAGTGTAAGACTGAACAGCCGCCTCTGTGATGCCAAACAAAGGCCTCATCAGATAGCAATGAGAAGGATTCAAAAGAACAATATCACAGCTTGCATTAATAAGACCCGGGTCACTTCATACAAATCTTAAAGAGGAAGGCTATATTAGCAGCATAAAAATAACTGAAGAACAGAAACGGTTTGCCAAGAAGTGGCTTTTTAAATGTATAGCCATTAAAGTAGTTTAGAGGCTCACATCACCCGATTATAACTTCAACAAAAGAGAAGTGCTTGTTGTGAAGTCATACACTACATAGGGTTTTTACATTGCAAAGATACTGCCCATGTCACATGTGCCCCCCCCCCATCACATGCAACTGGCCATGTGGTGCAGTAGTGTGTTAAAAGACAAAGTCCACAAAGCAGCACACCGCAGTGTACTGGTGAATTATTGTGACCATATACTTTAAATGTCATGGGCTTCTGTTCCACATATCCCCAGCACTCATTACATGACAAGCCAGGACCATTCTAGCATGGGTCTCAGTCAAAAGCTAACACATGTTCCAGCAGATGGATGGAGACGTTTGAAAAGGCTTTCTGACTTTTCCAGACTAAGCTGAAACAATCAAGAGTGAAAGGGAGACAAGAGGCTTCCTTTATGTTCCTGCAACAACAACCGATCCCCAACCAAAACAAAACCGGCTCGACTCTAATCCTGAGTCTCTCACTCAGGTTGTATTTGTGGCACAGTGAACTCACGGGGGGGTTACAAGCACCTTATTGGTTTAAAAACAGCTTTAATACAATTGGGTTAGCTGGCATCCATACATTGGCTGAGATTTAACACAGAACCTAAGAACAGGACGCAAGCTTACCACTGCTTAATGCACACTAACCATTACACAACATCACCTTTGACGCTCTCTGCTTTATTTGAACACTGCATCAGAGTTTGACGAGGAAAGATTGTGAGTGAGCCATGGAAATGTTTTAGTCATGTTTGGCCATGATAAATAAAATAAATCCCTGTAATTTCCAGGTAAGAACAAGCAGTCATCAGTCATTTGTGTCATAGCGCCAGAGTCACATCTAGGCCCCTGATAAATGTGAATGTAGACAAAGCAGGGCCAGCCTTACTGGAAATGGGCCTGACAGTGATTTTAATGAGGTCTTCAGGACATTTGCCAAAAAAAGATATCCCAACCATTAAATCTGAGTCTTCTGCCAGCAGTGAGCCAATGCTGGGCCGCGCATCATGTTCAATAAAATCTCCCATTAAACTAAACCACAATGACTTCCAAAGGATGTGACTGTTTTCAGGCACCCCAGTGTTAAAGAGATATTCACAAAAGAACAGATGCGTATCGTTTATGTCTATGAAACGCACACCTTTAATAGATGCCTTTGGACCAACAATAGAGCATTTACCTGCAGCTCCAGTGGAGTTATACAGACTGTGTATTTACAAGGGTCTGGGGTGGCCATGGCTGTTGATGCTGCACTGACAGAGAACTGAAGCTTCTCCCCAACCACACTGCAGCAAGCGGCCTGTTGGGAAGACAAAGTGAGGCATTAGTGTATTATTATTATTATTATCATTAGTAAGCGAATGCTATAGCTTAAGCATTTCAATGCAACTCAGATGTAGTTATATCATGTACTATGGAAGCAACTCAAACAGGGAGGGAAACTAGAATTTGTACTAAAATGTAAGTTGCTGTATGATTATCCATGTGTGAAAGGATCTGTGAGGATTTGTTGACAATACATTTATGTTACCATGACATGGCATAAAAAGGCACGTGGCTTTTGCTAAAACGGATCCAAAAGCAAAATATTTGAGCAGTTATCCTGGATGAGTGAGAATCTACAGACATCTTAAAAGCAGTTCACACTGAACTGTAAAAAAGGAAAAGGATCTGCACTAGCTTCCAAAGGCATTATCAGCAAATCCAATCCTCTGCGAGTACAATAAATCCCCTTCACTGAAATGGAATACATCTTTAACAGAGTAAATTACCAACCATTGGTAAAGTGTCTTCTTACTTGAAAGATATTTATTCATTGCTTTCATTCTGATTTCAGTGTAGGTTACGTGTGTTTTTGCATCTAGTCTGATATTAGACCCCTGTGAGGAGAAACCTTAACATAAACATCAGTGCCGGTGCATTCCTGTCTGGCTGCTCCTCCTCAGTGCTGAGCTTGACAGCTATGTAAGCTTCTTAAAACGCACGCACGCACACATGCAGACGCAGTGTATATTTTTACCCACACACAGTAAAAATAAGCCTCTGTTCATTAGACTCCCTGCATTCAACAACAGAGCAGCTGGTATTTTGCTCCATATTACGATGATCACAAAAGAAAGGGCTGAGTTTGCACTGGGAGCACTGCTACGCCGACCAGGCCAGCAGCAGAGCAAGCTATTTGTCCCTATCTGACCTCGCTAAAAACATAAAAAGCCCTCCGGTGGCAGTTTGTTTTACACACGGTCTGCAGCAGGTTAGCACATAATCTGATGAAAGAAGCACTATTCAAGTGTTTATAGTCTTTTTCATGTATACGTTTTCATTCACAGTGATTTTTGTAGTGAGCAGGTTGACACCTGGGAAAAAAAAATAGCCAAGCAGATTCATTTGTCAGATCTAAATGAACGGAGGAAATGTCTGTACCAGTATTTCTGAGTTGATGAGTCAGTGCTTGTTCACTGTGGGCTTAAATGCAGCACTTGGTGGTAAAGCAACTCCCTCTCCACTGAATTAGGGAAAGGGAGATTGATTTGAGGGACAGCCTTTGTCAATAACGCACACAAACAAGGAAAGTAGAAATCCAGTCTGTTGCTATAATCAAGATGAATGCTACACCATGGGAAATAAAATATATAATTGTCTTTAATAACACACACAACACTGCCACAGATCTAGATAACGCTCAGAAAAAGATCTTCATTGATCACTGGAAATACACAAAACAAAACAGCCATAAACACACGAGAAAAAGGCATTTCCTTCAACTGTACTGATAAAACACCTTAAGGTTAGTATACCTTGTTTCTGGCCGACTTCTGAAAGCTGGACACTTGGCTGACCATGAGCTCTGAGGCCTGAAGATCATCCTCTTCAAACGTCAGCAGAACAGAACCCTAATGAGGAAGAAGACAATAAGCTTAAAACAATAGTAAACACCTATTACACAACTCACAGAGAGCGGGGGAATGAGGATGCCAATAAATGAACAATGATCTGAGCTGGCGACGTCAATGCATGTGTTCTGACTTGATATTTCTAAGGAATAGAAACAAACGCAGATGGTTCAGAAGTGGTGCAAGAGGGTGCAAAAGTGTACATGAACATGTCAGATCAAATTATGTCCGATGTCAAAAGAAAGGGGTAAGATTTCATTGGAGTAGGGTGGGTCTGCAAAAGCTATCCATATGAGAGCACAGATAAGGGGATTTACTTGAGTTATTACAACCCTGTCACACCATATGACAAGCTGCACTTTCTTCACTGAAGTCACCTGCCTGCCACAGAGTAGTGATGGCCTGGTGGTCATGAGACTTACCCCACGCTTCCTTGATTCGTCATTCAAAGCCCTGCACCAAGCTCCTCTCCACTGACTTTTCCAGCTCGCCAGTGACAGCGCCCATCCCAGCAGAGAGGCGGCTTCCTCCTTCGCCGCATTGTCCTCCGCTGCTCTCTGCTTATTTCCTACACCCCTTTGTTGGAAATACTGTACGAAATACAGTATGAGAGTGACCAGGGACGCAAGGAAAAGTGTGACCATGCATATCCACTGCGGATCCTCCAAACCAAAATATGAACTGGAACCCTCAAAGTCGGACATTCTTTGCAAATGAAAACGATGATCACAGCTTAACACACCTCCTTTGAGAGGTTTCCTGGCAACCTCATAGTAAGTAATTTGGTCAGGGAACGGCCAAATCAGTGAAAGCGATCTCCCACAACTGATAACAGCCCAGATATCAACCCCCAAAACATATTATGCTTTTTGTTATCCATGTTGCAGTACTCCGTAACAGATTTTAAAAGCCATATAGAGGTCGTAAATGACAAAAGCTGGTTATAGAGACTTAGACCACTGTCAAAGAGCTAAAGGTAGTCTCTGGCTTCTCTCCCCCTTCTCATTGAATATGGTTGTTAGCTTAGTAAAGCTAATCTTCGCCACGGTTCGCTTAACTAGCTATTCAACATTAGCTACTGAACCACTAAAGTTGAGCAAATAGGGATTATTTCCAAAGTTTGCAGTTGAGCTCCACCAAACGATATCCAGATACAGAACAAGAGTCCCGGGAAAACATCCTGGAAGCGAGGAGAGCAGTCCTTACCGCTGGACTTTGAGTGCGGCTCAGTATGACTGTATAAAGTTGCAGCTTGGAAACGGATATGTGGCACAAACTGTAACTCCCAGAATGCACAGCGGCAAATGACAGAATTTGTTGACGTCCGGTGGTCGTGCGAACTTAAGCGTTTTTCACAACGGAGGCTACGGTGTGGTACCTAGAAGAAATTATTAGCTCATGAATGCTGTTTTTTTGCTATGTTAAATACAATAAGTCCCATTAAAAAAACGCATTTAAGAAAAACGACTCCGAAAGGGTGTTCTGAACTTCGCGGCTTGCCGTAGATTGTCCCACTGTCATCATTACCACGTCTTCCTGTCCCGTTTGTAGCAAACACTTAGCTAGCTTTCGTTACCATGTCCCTGTGCTCAGTCTGTGGACGTTACAATTGGAGGTAGGGTAGCTTTTATGGAAAAAAAAACTAACGTTATTTGTATTTTAATATAGTGTAATACACGGTGTAGGATAGGCCCCGCCCCTCCTTAGAGGTAAACAAAATATATCTTCGTCACCAAACGTGATCGACATACAGTAACAGTTAAAGTTAGCCATCACCCTACTTGAGCCGTCGCATGTAAATGGAAATAACTATCATTTCACAATGAATTGCCGCTCGGAAGTTCTTGAAGTAACAGTGGAGGCCAGGCAGGTGGAAGAAGCTATGCTGGCTTTGTTGCACACCATTTTACTGCATCGCAGCACCGGGAAATTTCACTACAAAAAAGAGGGCACCTACTCCATCGGTACCGTGGGCACACTAGACATCGACTGCGACTTCATCGATTTCACCTTTGTGCGGGTGTCCTCCGAGGAGCTGGACAGAGTGATCAGAAGAGCTGTGTCTGAATTCAAGGTAATTGTTGGTTTCAACATGTGATTGTTGACTGTGATGCATGGGCAGGCCTGTAATTTGGATGTTTTAATATATGCTTTGGTTACAGGATGCTTTGAGCAACTCTGGCAGCGATGGCATGGGGCAAATCTCCCTGGAGTTTTACCAGAAGAAGAAGTCTCGCTGGCCTTTTTCGGACGAGTGTATTCCCTGGGAAGTGTGGAGCATCAAGGTCAACGTTGTCAACCTGGCCAATGAGCAGGAGAGACAGATCTGCAGGGAGAAAGTGGGCGAGAAGCTGGGCGAGAAGGTGATCAACGTTGTTGAGGTCATAAATCGCCACGAATACCTGCCAAAGATGCCCACCCAGTCTGAAGTGGACAATGTTTTTGACACCAGTCTCAAAGATGTCCAGCCCTACCTTTACAAAATCACATACCAGATCACTGACTCCCTGGGCACCTCTGTAAGCACAACAATGAGGAGGCTGATTAAAGACACCCTGGCACTGTGAGGATGCTCCAAGACACAGAGAGAGAAAGATATGGATGCTTTTATCCATTCCTGTATCTATATCATGCCTGACAACTCTTTCTATTGATAAGTGTCCGCTCTACTCCTGCTACAATGAAGCAGTGTCAATGTAATTAGTCACTGTTTTGATGTCTCTGCTGTGGTTCCAGTATTGGTTGTACCATAAGATTCTTAATTATGTATTGTCTGTTTTAAAGAGATTTTGTTTTTGCTTTCTCTTTTGTAATTGTCTTCACCTTTAACACAGTGTATATCAGTTAAATTCTTTCAAAAGTTGTCTTGCTGATAATGTCAATTCTGTAAATTATTGTAAATCTTTGACAATAAATGTTCATTGTAACTGATGGTAATTATGGTCAGCAGTCATAACTCTTTCAAGCTAAAGATTGATGCTGTAAACCTCTCCTAACCTTTGAACTAATGGCAACAGATGGGTTTTTTTTAAATAGTTTGGGAACAGATTTCCTCATCTATGTGGAAACTTCCTCTTTGCACACAATTTCACGGAGTGTGACCTTACACACGGGTAGGACAGGATTTCCAGTTTCCAATTTTTCCAAATAAAAGCAAACACCTCCCAAGTTTCCAGCCAGAAATTGTCACGGTGGCCCGCAGCTTGAAAAACATCCCCCTGGCTCAGTGTTGTCTGCCAACATAATGACATGTGTTGTCCATTTTCCCCATACCTCAGTTCCACAGGTAGATTAATCAACAAGCTATCTGGCTGTTAATGATCTGTGCCTTACTAGTGTGTGTGTGTAAAGAGTAAGGGAATGCTCTTATAAGTAAAACAAACTCATACATATATTTAATTGAAAACCTAAAGTCTTATTATAGGTTTGGACATTTGGGAATACATGGCAAAAATGTTCTTTTACCCTGAATATATAGCCTTGGAGATGTGTTTTACTAAATCCAAATATATACATTTCCTTTAATTTAAATACTGCACACTCTTATAATGGCTTTTAAATACTGAGGCAGTACGCCAAAGTTAAAAAGTGTTTTGGTGACAAAGAAGACGCAGTAAGTCCAGAATCTATGGTAAATATGGTTTAAGCAAAAGCGAACAAGTGGCAACAAACAAGCTCACTGAGGGTTATGGACTAATTTAAGATTCAATTTAGCTGCGGGGCGGGAAGAGTTTACCACTTAAAACCGAAAAATTCAAATACCACACATGGTTGTATATATATTCCATTGTTACTCTTTATTACAGAAATGAAACACAAAAACTGTAGAAAATCCTAAACACAAAACAGCTGCAGGTCTCCAAAAGCAACAAAAATGCAACCAATGCTGATACAAATATTCATTATTGCAGTGAGAGCACAGGAATACTAAAAAGATAAAACCTTTGTTTACTAACAAAATTGGTACAAAATCGAGGATACAAACACATCCATATACACAAGTCTAATCATTTCTGTGAACGTTTTTATCACAAGAAATTAAGAGCACTATTAACAATACAGAATTTCTCCACAGAATTTAACATCACAATGCAGCTTGCGTTGCTCATTTAGTGGAAAACAAATTTCCAGAGTTTGTGTAGAGCACTCTTTGAATGCAACATCTCCCAAATAGTAGCAGTCGTAATAATTTATGACAAAGTTCTAATGCATCAAGCCAAAGCAGTATACTGTATATACTTGAAAGAGAATACAATTGTCACACAACTGGAATACAATCAAAACACAATCTTTAATAATAAATCTTTAGGAAGCAGGAACACTCTCTCACCATTCATAGAATATAAGATTTGCTTTCTAATGCCCCCCTCTTCTTGACTTTACCACCCTGAAAAGCCTGAGTCATAAGTCATCTGAAACTTTATTGTGCTTTTATGTCAAATAATATCGGTAATATTATTTTTAAAGTTGCATAAGGCCATCGAAGCATTTTAAAGCTCTGTGTTTAATTGCAGAAATATATAAGTATTTTCATAACACAGCACTGGGGTGGCAGACTTTAGTGATTCAGAAATTGTGACAATGTCTAATATACTCATTAACACTAGAATTTTCATATTTATTATTTGGGTATAAACATAAACTGCATTACCATTCTGCAGTGTGCTTTATGTCTACATAGCTGAATGATGTTTGCCAGTATTTAGGATACTATCATATCTACCCAGCCCATTATTTTCACTTGCAGTTTCCCCAGTTTTACTACTAAGCTGGTCTGAGCACCTGTTATGAGTTTTTACAGCAACATTAGAAATGTTAGAGTAGTTTAACCTGTGGAAAAAAACAACTTCTAAAATCTTATGACTGATGATTGATGTCTTATTCATTTGTGTACACATAAAAAATGATTCACCAGGCTAGTAATTAGGAAGATTAATTATAAGTACTGAATGAAGACTGTAAGCAATTTATCAAGGCTTAAATGTGTCTAAAACAACAGTACAGTATGTGGTATAGCATTGTTATTATACTGAAGGTCTCATTCAATCAGCCCATGAAACCAAATGACACAAAGGCAATAAGAAACTCAAATATGAAAGAAGTACGAAGAAAGAAAACAGAAACTATTGGGCCTTTTCATCGTTCTTCTGCAGCCTAAAACCCCAGCTAGTGAAATGATCCAAGCAAGAATTTTGGACTATGTCCCCCTTAAAACAGACTCAAACTGTTAAACAAAGTGCATATTTAATACATTGTTGAGGCCACCAATATTATATTAAGGGGTGTCACTCACACCAAGAGCTAGATCTGATACAAAAGCAAAAGCACTACTCTTTAATTCAACTGCGGGCTCCGAAGATTTAAAGCACTTTTTCCACACTGAGAAAACAATGTATATAGTTGAACCTCTTTTCACTGTACCTTTAAACGGTACAGCTAAAAGTAATGCCAGGTGCAACTCTGTACCTTGTTTTCTCAAAACACCTAGATAGATAAATACAGGTCGACAACTAAAAGATGTGTAAAATAGATAAATGCTTATAGTTCATTTTGATAGGAAAATTATCCATTTATAATCATCTCATCTCACAGAGGATTCTAGCACTTGATTGCACATTCACGTTTACACCTCTATTGAACATGGCCACTTTAACATTTGACATTGGAGGCAAGCGAATAAGCTATACATTCAAAGTTTTCCTTTTTGTAGGCTGAGGTGTGTTAAGTAAGTATTGTCTCTCAGAGAGAAGTGCACTACTTTAACATGTCTGGTGTTTGTTTACATGTGGCTATGGCTCTGCTCATGGCTCCAGAGACTAAAGGCTGTCTTGAAGGTCCTGTGACAGAGTTTACACATATACTGCCTCTTAAATGTCAGGGCAGAGAGAGAGGGTGCATGGTAAAAGAGTGTGTCTGATTCCTGAGGGCCACCTGGATTCTCCATGCTGTTGGACCTTGACAGAGGGCTGTGGCTGCTGGGTTGCCACTCTAGCTCAGGCTTCTTTACCTTGCTTACTGAGGAGCTACAGGGCTCCGGGCTGCTGGACTCCTCAGCCATTGCAGCAGCGACTGGCGCCGTCTGGGGGGACTTGAGCACGGAGGGCTTTGGGGAGGGACGTTCAGAGTTTTGAGGGGTCGTGGGAGGGGAGGGAGACTGAGGTGAGGGGTGTCTGTCGATCTCTTTGGCTCCAGGTTCGTTAGCAGTCGACATGTGGGACTGGAAGTGACTCCAAAGGCGGAAGTTGGTCCTAAAGGCTTTGTTGCAGATGTGACAGATGAACGGTTTGATGTGGCATAGCAGCTCCTGGTGTCGCTCCAGGTCCTTGCGAGAGCTGAAAAGATTTCCACATTTCTCGCATGGCCACACACCGGGTTCCTCGGGCCCACTTTTGGCAGTCTCTGTGTTTTCCCTCTCACTCACAGCCTCCTCTAACGGCTCCTCCTTCACTACCAGCTTGCCATGGTGGCCCATGCTCAGGTCCTCAGGCACATATGATGAAGAATCTTCTGAATCGTACATGGGTGGACCTGAGGAGTCACTGTAACTGATGTTCTCTCTTGAGCTCCCAGTTGCTAGAGGCTCATCGCTGTAATGCTCCTCTCTGAGCATTTCAGACGCCTCTTCGTTGTCCTCTTGTTGCTTCAGGTGAATCTGGTCTTTAACAGTCATCATGTTTTGGTTGTGGACCTCCACTTGGTGGCGCCATATGCTGAATGAGGACTTGAACGTTCGCATGCATTCCAGGCACGTCAGTTTCTTGTACTTACAATGTGCCTCGTGGTCCTTCTTGACCGTTGGACTTGAGAAGCGGAGGCCACAGTAGGGGCATACAGTTGCATGTCGACAGCCCCTCTCATGGTCGCCCTGTTCAAAGAGTGAAGACAGCTTCATATTACAAAGTCTACAGGAGTAAACGCTGGCGTCTGTGTTCTTCTGTTGAATGATCTCATCCTGTTCCTGGTAGAGGATGCTCTCGTTCGTTGTGTCCTCGTCAGCTTTTTCAGCAGGATGTGTCCTTAAATGCTGTCTGTACTGAGACTGGAACACGAATACTTTCCCACAGTAAGGACATATGAAGCTTGGCCTTGATCTCTTTTTGGTGAGTGCAGGAGATTGCAAACCCTGCTTATTCCTCTTTAACTTCCAAAGCAAGGCTTTCTTTATTTCCCTCTCTCGCACAATATCTATCAACTTCTTTTGAAATTTCTCATCCAGCACAGAGGAGCTGGAGGATGAGGCCGGGTTTTGTACTACACCATGCTGAGTTTGGCAGTGAGTCCACACTTTGAAGTTGGTATGGAAGCGCTTGTGGCAGATGTCGCAAGCATACGGCTTTTCAGGGTTGTGATACATATTTACATGACGATGTAGTCCAGCGCTGGACCTGAAAACCTTTAGGCAGTTCCAGCATTTGAAAATCTTGTTCTGAGGCGGCTCCCCACTGTTCTCATTAGAATCGCTGCTGGCACTCTGAGGTGCCGTTTTTAACATGTTCTCATCAAGTGTCTGGGGATGTTCTTTAAATATTTTGCTCTTCTTGAATGGGTACCTTCTGTTGTCTGGCCTGTCCTTTCTTTTCACAAAAGAATTGGAGTCTGGCCTTGACCCTTGGTCGTAATTCCGTTGCAAGTCTTTTAGATTGACTGGCAATGCATCACCAACTGTGATACGAATAATGTCCATGGGGTCAGCGAGTGGACTGCTCGGCTCAGCTTTCACACTGACCTGTCTTTCTACCTGAGTTTCTTCATCATACCTGCTGGGACACTTTGACCTGAGAACCAGGGGAGATTTTCTCTTTGAATTGCCGTTGTGAGCTTCTGGCCCGGATGCTTTTGATGCCATTTTAACAACTGACTGCTCACGATTTTGCAGCTCCTTGAGCTCCAGTGTTGGTGAGAAGACTGGAACAGGGCTGTCCATGGATAATGATCTTCGGAGTAGGCTTTTTATGAGCGGCCCGCTCCTGTCAATGGTCTGGCTCGGCTCACTGGCCTGACCCTGAAAGGGCACTTTGGTGTGATAGTCGGGCTCCTGCGCCTCATTTTCCTCCGTAGTGTCCTGGTCAGTGCCAGACTGCAGCCTGATGTGCTGCACTTCAGCATCACTGAAGGACACTGATGATGTCAGCTGGGGCCTAACAGATGTGATGTGTGATGAATTCCCTTTTAATATGGAGGTGTATGGATACGTGGACTTCCTTTCAGCAGCTTCATTCTGTTCAGATGATTCCCTGCTGATGGATTCAGAGTTCCTAGCTGATTCATACGAGTTGTGTTCTGCTGGAGGCTCAGCTGACTCTCGAGTAGAGTGGGGAGGTGATGATCTCTCTGATGTTTTTCTCGGATAATTTGAGCGAGAGGGATGGCTTGTGTCATGCCGGACCCGGCACACAATGACGCTCCTTGTCTGCACATCATTCCCCTCCCCTTCGGAGAACGAAAACCTTTTTCTAGATACACAGTAGGACGCATGTGGCCTTGTTGACACGATGTTGGTGAGGAAAGGGATTCCAAGGCTGTAGCCCAGCTCTTGAATAGCTGCCAGGCTGCCTTTGTCCACAAAAAGTGAGGAGGAGTAGATGTAATTCAGAACTATCTCGAAGGCGTCAGGCTCACAGAAGTCCAGATTTACAACTTTCAGTGACTCTGCGTCCATCCTCATGAACAAGGACTGGAAATACTCACTGCTGGCAGCCAGAACACTCTTATGGGCCTGGTACCTCTGGTCCGCCACAACCAGGACTACATCACACATCTGGCCCCGCAGGCGCTGCTCATTCAGAGCCCCTAACACTGAGAGGGCATGGGAGGGATTGCTGTAATGCACTAGGCTCTCCATGGCTGAAAGACAAAACAAGATGATTATATTTGAATGCAGGAAAGTAAATACAAAAGGTGATCATTATGTGTGCACATTAGTTTGTCATAGAGATGGGCATGAACAGGTTCAGGTATGCCTCTGTCTATTGGTCTTGTCATATCTCATGTCAGAGACAGCGTATTGTGATGGAATTTTAATTAAATTATCCCAGTATATGATGAAGCCTTTATTATAGTTAATCCAGTTAAACAAGACTACAAATATCAGCATCTATAGCCCTTTAAACAGCAAAATAAAATCCACCATAAGTTATTGAGTCCTGTTGATGTTTTATACTCAGCCAGGACAACTTGACTCTACTGCAGTTTTGCATATTTTGACAATTTATGAGAACTACTGCAAATAATTGATGATTTATTTACTTATCATAACATTATTGGCTATTTTATCTAAGTATCTTGCTTAGATAAGTGTGTGGTCTATGTGGAAACAAATAATTGTTTTAAGGCACAGTATAGTATCATTACTGTGCCTAAAAACAATTATGACTCTGTGGATAATGCATAGTATAATCACTGGTAATTTTGTTCTGTTGGTCAGATGAAAAAGACGCACGAAGACATCAGCCTGGAATTTTGATAATAACCGCTGGTTGCAGACCTACTATGAACAACTTTCAGTGGAGTATCTATTTTTTTAAATTATAAATATTAATGACTTAAATAGAGTCAATTATAAGACTAATAATTAAACTAATTTAAATTGTGTATTGTTTTAAGTAATGTTTCTCTGGCAATTTTTTTAATTTATATTGGTTGTTGTTTATGATGATCACTAGAGGTCAAAGTTTACCCTTTTTATTTACCACAGCATGGTGCAAGCTACTACAGAAGGACATACACAGCAAGTTTATATGCATTACATCATGTTAGTTATCAGAAGGTATGAAAATGCTGTTGTGTCAAGTCGCCCTCAGTGACATGGACTAATGCAGGAAGTTTAAAATAAAAGGCTTTTCACCACAGAACGTGTTTACTGGGCAGCGGTGGTCCACCTCACCTGCATTAAAGACCCCACTTACATAACCAACATTTGAATACATTTCTAAGAAATGAAACATTAACAGCAGAGCTGGTATTTCATGCAGCAAATACCACACATTTGACGAAAGTGACTAGAGTTTAGTCCATCATCTACTGAGTAAGTTGATTGTGAGACGAGATGCAGCAGGATCTGGCTGGTTTCCACTAAGCCTAAACACTTTCCTGATGGACAGACATTGTGGCACTGTGGTAGACATTGAGAATATTGCTATTACACTGCACTTTTTTTTTTTTAAATAGTGTGCATATATGTGTTCTCTATACTGCAGCCTGTGTTTGATTTTATTATTGTAAAGTAAGCACATCGTGAGCAATGCACAATCCAGAGTGAAATTCCTCGTATGTGTACACATACCTGGCAAATAAAGCTGATTCTGCTATGCAGTAATTTTCCATAGGTAAGTTTGGATTCAGTAGTGTGGGAGCACAATGATGTAAATATAAAATATATAACCTGTGTTTTTAGTAAAAGGTACAAATCAATCTAGTACTTATATAAAATAATGACAAAATTGGTTATTGTGTTTTACATATAAATTTTTATATAACATCTTAAAAATAGGAATTCTGTGTTAACCTCCTGTATTGTTATAATGCAGACACCATCATGTTTCTGGGTAATGTTTTATTTAAGTAGCTATTAAGGAGAATATTAACTGTATATAAAACAAATGTAAAATGTATTACATGATTTTTTTAATCTGAAAAAAGGCTGTGTCCACATCTCACCTTCAGTATGGTGACTGGGCAATGAGAGGACAATGTTTAGAGACATTTTAGCAAGAAGTTAACCTTGAAACTAAATAAGGGGGGGGACATGCCTATTACTGGTGTACTGAGAGTATTTATGCTATGCAGAAATAAGACACCAATTTATTCAGTTTATTTGCATTGTGTATTTGTGTGTGTGTGACACACACTGTCTGGAACAATTGTAAAAAATGCAAATAAAGACAAAAAAGAGGAACAAGTTTTTCACAATCCTAGTTTCCTCAAGAACACTGCACGTTGCTCCTTCAGGCGTTTATTTTGAAAACTGTGACCGGAAGGCATGTTACTCATGTTGCCATTTTTGACACTTGCTATAATAGATTCATGTGCAGAAGCTCCATTCATTCACCAAAAACTAACAACTGCTCAGTTGCCTATTCGTCAAAACTCTGAGTTCACGTTTAAGAGGACAACTGGGGACATTCAGCCCGCGTCTCGTTTCTAAGAGGAAGTCGAGGGAAGCGTTCAACATTAGATCATCCATGAGACGTGGCTCAATTTCTCATGACAGATAACTTCTCCAACCGAAATGCCGCTTTCAGTTTAGTAATGAGTCATGCGTTTCTCTTTTTGTATCGGTAAAAGGCGAAAGAACCGATGCTAAAACGGTTCCGCTTTGATGTTTCAACGGTTCTATCAAATAAAGAGGGGGAAAGTTGAGCGCGTTTCAATGGGCTCCGCCACAGTAATCCCGGAATCAAAACACAGTGGGTGCAGACAGAGAAGCTGTTGGAGTATGTGTTGGGGGGCGAATTGTACCCGCTACCCATGGTGGAAGTGGTGTTTTTTTCTTGTTTTTGTTTTTCCCCCCAAAACGGTCCAGCCTGGTATGACACGGCGCAGTTGCTGGCTGCAAAACAGGTTGTCGCTCGTCAGGGTTTACAGCAGCACAATCCCCCTTTCGAGTTACGTCAGGGAGGAAAAGGAAAACGCTTCTGCTTAACAGCACTCTACCAACTATGTTTCACCCTGCCTGCTCATTTTGTTTAACGTTAAGTTTGGTAGTCTATCTACACTTACCCTGCCCGTCGTCAAGATGGTGTTTCCTCCACACAGCCGGGACTTTATTCACTGTTGTGTACATTTCTGCGCGCTGGTCGTGATTCCATCCATCTTGAATTTGACGTCATCCCACACCAGGGATGAGGTCATCGCAAAGAACGCTCGTCACGTGCACTGCGCTCTGATAGGCTAGTAAAGGACCTGGGGGCGGGGCCAACGGAAGACTTGACAGGCTAATTTAAAGGGATAGCTCATATTTTTTAGTTTTAGATGTCGTGTCGCTAACTGAAGTTACACTGTATGTTGTAATTAGCTTGGTATTTGAGCCCGGTAATTGTTTGTAAGTATAGTTTAAACTAAGTTTAGTAAGTTTGTAGCTCTATTTAGCTTTGTAAACTGGCCGGGTATCTATTTATTTATTTTAGTTTTATGTTAAAAAAAAAAAGAACACATTTTCACTGTGTGTATACGAGTGTATATATTTTAAATAACCGCCTTTTGATTTTAGCAAATTAAAAAAATCTATTTTTTAGTTTTTAATACCTATTTTATGCATTCAACTACAGTAGATTGTCCTTGGTAGGTTTAAACTGTGAGAAGCGGAGATAATATGCATGTGAGTGCACACCTCCTAACCCCAGTGAAACTAATTAGATCCGTGATTGAATGCAAGTCAATAAAGCGTAGCAGTAGATGTGTGTCATTACTGGCATCCATTGGGGACTTGTTTCTATGTTTATTTGGCCTACAGGCATCCCCCTGGAAGGCCTTGAAAGCCACACACCTGGCAACAGTGTCATGACTCAGGTATGGCACTGGTGGTGAAAAGTCAATATTTTCATTCATGAAATATGGCATAAAACCACGTTTTATTGAGCTGATGATTTTTATTTGGTAGTGTAACTGTATTTAAATTGCAGTGACATTAGTTGACTCAGCCATTAGCCCTGCACCTCCCTGCATTTACATGCTCCAGCACCTCAGCATGTAACCAGTCATTATCACTTAATGACTGAAGGAAGTGTAATGATGCACATTTTCACACCTCATTATGTAAAAGGAGCACCATTACATTAATACTACATTTACTAAGAATGAAAAAAATATCCATGAAAATATTTGAAATAATACAGAGGACCTGTAGAAGTTTCTTTCATCTAACATGAATGTATAGTCACATTCGCATAGTCGAAGTGAGGACAGAATCTTGATGGAGTCTTTTTTTAGAATGCGTCTTTGACAGCCAAAGCATCCCACTGGTCCTTCATATAATGAGAGTGAAGACATGTGGGAAAATGGTAAGGACGTCCTCACTAGTGTTCTCACACTAATGGCTGACACAGGCTGTTCATGCCAGCAGCATAGCAAGCACTGCCATGGTTACCTGTGTGGAAACCAAGCCATTTGAGACTTTGACTCCTCCCATAAGACATCTCTCTCCCTGCCATCAAAAACATGTTTACTGACACTGAGAATGAGTAAAATGAGAACTTATCTATTCTACAAAAATGTAAAGAGATCCTGGAATTTCCCTTGTGAAAATCATGAACACCAACGGCTTTTCTCTTTGCAATACACTGGCTCGCTAACATGTCATGCTGCCATACATCTTGGCAGTTCAAGGTGTCAAATTGTCTGAATATTTTCATATTCTTGCATAAATTCATGTAATTTCAGTTCACCGACAAACACATTCACATAAATCTAATACTTACCTGCTGGCTGTCATAATTTTGTGGTCCATTAGGGACTGATGGTGCAACGAGGGGAGGAGAAAGACAGAGCCACAGAGGATTTTATCTCTGAGCACACCATGAACAGTGAGTTAGCATCATCTCAAAGAGAAACATGCGCGTACAATGTTGTTGTTAAATATATGGTTGATCTGTGAAAAATGAGTTGGATGCTTTCCATCTGGGTGGCCGCGGCCCTGCTGGCTCTCTGTGGGGGACAGAACACTGTGCATGAAGGTAGGCTTCTACGCTGCTGACAGATTAACATGAATTGTATGTGTTGCCACAGAAAATGGCATTTATGAAGATCTACACTGTTTTCATTTGTTTTTGTTTAAAAAAAAAACAATTTAATGTCAATTATGTTTAACTTCATGAGTCAAGGAGCATTGTTAATGAATAATTCAAAATATAAAATCTGATGTCATTATGCAGCCAGAGACCAACATCAAAACTGAGATATATTGACAAGATATATTTTACTCTAGGAAATCACCTGTCTGGCTACCATCTCTGTATTCACAATGAGACAAGGATTGTGAGTTTCCTGGTGATGCATGAGGTCCCCTATACTGTGACAAAGCCTTGTGGTGGCTGGCTCCTCTGGAAGACATGTACAGTCACACTTTACAGGATGACCCATCAGACTGAGTACAAGACAGTGATGGAGCAGGTGACCAGGTGCTGCGAGGGCTACGAACAAGTCGGTCATTACTGTGCCCTGCGTGAGTGTACTGCACACCATTTATGCATCAATTGGATGGAATAGTATAAAGGGGCACATATTGTTGTGTTTGTTGTTAGAGTTAAAGTATCTTTGTACATTTAAAGATATAGCATCACACGACAATGAATTTGTGGTACTGTGTGCAAGACACCAGATGGAAGCACAGAAACTGCACTGCTACAAATATCTCGCTGCTAATATATGGCCTATAACATGTTATTTCCTTTGAACGAAGCTGTAAACAGGAGTGGTGAGTTCACTGCCAAGCCAGGATCCTGTCCAACCGCAGATGGATTGCATCCCGGATCTGTGGACTGTGAGTGGGACATGGACTGCCCAGGATGGCAAAAATGCTGCCAGAGATTGGGTCGCTCTCTCTGCAGTGATCCTGCAAGTTAGTATGCATTACTGTTTTTTTTATGTGTAATTAAAGTATGCAACCGGTATGGTTTCATGTCATGTGCACAAGTTCTCACTTTTCTATATATTTTTTATTTTATTTAGCAGGTCTCTGCATATAGCTTTAGACAGTACAGCGGTAAGGGGAATGTTGTTTGTTATCTTCAAGGCACTGAAACATTACATTTAAAGTGAGCCTGTGTAACGTTGCCGTGCAACTGTGGCTACATGTGACAATTACAGGATAATAGCTCATGCTAAAACATCATAAAACAGGGCACATGTAGAGAAGAGTCATACAATTAGTGACCTGACTCAGTAGGGACAGTTTCACAACAATATCTATCTAAGTATATAAATATAAGTTAGCTCATAAGCTCCTGGCCCTGAGTGTACTGAATTGAGCAACAGTACATTTTATTGTTTGTGAGTCCAAGTGTACATTTCTAAAAAGATAAAGTCTCTTTAGAAACATGTCCCAATTATTTTGTATAATCCACAGACTGTGTACCATTTTCATCTCAACAAACTTCACTGTTACTTTTTTTTGTAAATGTCATTTTCTATTCTTATCTCAAAATGAGGGCAAATAAATTCAAACAGTACTGCATGCTCTGTTTGAAAATTATTAGGGGGATTGTGATTCCACATAAAGCAAAAAAAGGAGAGGGTTATTTGTATTTTCTTTATACTGAAGAGAGGATGAGCCACTGTAGTCTGATATCTTATGGTCTTTAAAAATGTTCTCACCCCAGATTTGAATTTTATTTCACCCTTCCTTTAGCTGGACAGAGCTGCCGCACTTGCCTGGTTCATTAAGTCACTGAAAGTGGTAAAAACCAATCAGTTAGTAGGTCAAAGGCTGGAATTTTGGGGTGCGCTATTTCTATGTTTAAGTAATTTCATTTCAAATGTGGTACATTTGGTGAAAATGATTGTGCCATTTACATACTAAGTTTCAAATAGTACACCGTTTAAAATCTGTATGCATCTTACCTTTTTATGATTAAATGAGTTGTACCACTCCAACACTGTTATAATGGGTGTTGCTGTTTTTTTCCCCAGTCAATGGGAGGGTCTACTGCCCTTCCTCACTCTAATATTTTCCCAACAGCCTGTTAGATCCCACTATGTTTAAGTGAGAAATTACGGGTTATCTTTATGATTGGAGTGAACTAACCCTTTTAATTTAACTTTCAGGTTTAGCAAATTATTCTGAGAATGGAGGGTACCGTTTGAACGCAACAGTGACAGTGAAAGCTGATTACCAGCAACTGATGTCCAAGGATAGAGGATCTTTGGATCACACACGACTGCTACAAGCAATGGTAATACTACTAATACTTCTACTACAGCTGTTAAGACTTCTGCTGCTTATATAATAATAATAATAATTATTATTATTATTATTATTATTACAGCCAAGACCACTAGCCAGCTACCAATACTGGTCTCTGATATACCAAGGCATCCACTTCTCTGTTTCAGAGTAATTTCACATTCATTTCATATTGATACTTTTTTTGTGTCTCTATTACTAATAGGTGACTGGAGCTCTGCAGTCTGAAGTTTCAGTTTATTACCTCAGCTCATGGCCTGTTCATCCCTACAGAACTGCCACCTCACTGCTGATCGAGTACAACTTTACTCTTTCACTGGACAATGTCACATCAAAGCTGCATCTTCTCCTCAATGACATACAGGAGGTGTCATATGTAACCGTGGAAGGTGAGGAGACACAGTTGTTCTGTGCAGCAGCAATCATCTCTCCGTGAAGCCACTTGGGGCTGTTTTTTTTTTGTCTCTTTAGAGAAATGACATTCTTGTAGAGTGTTGAGAATGATTCATGTTGCTGAGAACACGGTGTTCAGGAAAAAATGACTCAGTCGCAGCGCAGTTTCCTTCTCCCACCACTTCTATTTGAGTGACAGTCATCTGTGGGATGTTTCCTGCAATAGCGGAAAAATAACACCAGGGCGAGTGCGCACACACATGCACAAAAACAAACGCCCACCCACACACACACAAACACACACACACACACACACAGATGTTAATCATGAATCAGTCATACTTGGAACTTTTGCACAAAAGACACAGTAACAAGCTCGCCCTTATGCACAAACTCAAACACACATGAAGTTGCCTTCAAAATGTTATTTCACAGATAATTGATTTTCTTCTCTATACTGTAGGCACAAATTTAATTCTTGACTGATAAGTGTGAAAATGTACTTTTATTATTTTCCTTTACTTAGCCTTTAAATTAAAGATACAAGGAAGACAAGTGAATCAAATCCAACTTACACATTTTATTTTAAGTACCTGTATTCTTCCCTGAAACCAGCTTTTCTAAAGCATAATGTCACTTTTACAATCTAAATGTCTTTCCCTATAAATTATATTTATGTCATCATTTATCATTATCAAGTTTCACATTACATTTTGTAATTATTGCTCCTTATGCAAACAGAACCCTAATTCAAGAGTCATCACATGCAATTGTATTTCCAGTGTAACCTCTTCATATGTCTGCGTTTCTAATTGCAGATGTAGATGAGTGTGCACAGTCTGCTCTCCGTCAGTGCTCCCCTCAGGCAGACTGCCATAACACTGTGGGCTCCTACCATTGTGCCTGTCACCAAGGATATATTGATGTTGACCCCAGCAACCCTGGAGCCCGCTGTACAGGTTAGACTGTGTGGGAGTGTGTGCAAAGTAGTTCAAATATATATCGTCAATCATTTACAAGTTGTTTTACCATGTGGTTACGGTAGTGAGTTGAATTGCAGTGGTAAATTTAAAAGTAGGGAATCTACTATATACAGTGATCTGAGATTAGTAAGAACCATAACAACCCCAACGTATTCACTGTGTTTTTTATCTCATAAAACCTTGCTTTAAATCGTTCGTGTCTGCTTGTAAAGCTTAAAAGCTAATAAAGGCAAAAAAAATTATAAAATAAAATAAAACCATGAGAAATGTTTCATCAAACTAAAACAAAGAAATATTGTGGTAGGGTCAAGAATGACGAGGCTATGCGAGCCTTGTGACAAACAAACAGACTGATAGGGAACAAACCACTCTCTTGAAATGAAGCAGACATCATGTGCCAAAGTAGTTCCTCAGGCCAATCGAAGCTGCTTGAATCAGGAAATTGTGGTTAGATTTAACGTGATATTTTAAAGTTTTGCATCAGAAGCTTTGATTTCAACATCGACTTGTATTCCAGCTGACGCCAGGGTGTCGACTACCACAGAACCCCCGCTTACCTACCTTCCACCCATGAACGCAACCTACAGCCCAGCTTCCACCACCACACAGGACCCTCCCGGCAACAGCACCATAGGTATCTCCAGCTCCACTGAGCCCAATATGACTGCGCTGAGTAATACAAGCTATGTCTCTTATAATTCATCACATGCTCTGCAGTGGACAAGCTCTGCACCTTATACCAGCATGAGCTCAACTGTGGAGTCACCTCTGCCAACAACTACATGCTGTAAGAAACATTTTATTTTTATCTCAACTCTGCTTAAAGTCCCCATATCTTGATTTACAAGCCAAAGTAGTGGGTGTTGTGTCCAAATAGAAAAATGAGCTTTGAGTGGATGAGACAGCCCTGAATAGGGCTAGGATTATGCAAAAACCTAGTTTAAATTAGTGAGCTTTAAAGGTGCTGGTCGGTGGATTTTGTTACTTTAGAATAGAGCCAGGCTTGCTGTTTCCCCCTTTTCAGTTATTGTGATAAAATAAGCCAACTTGCAAGGCTAAAGCTAGCAGCCTAGCTTTAGCCTTGCATTTACCGTACAGACATGGGAGTATAAATCTTTTCATGTAACTCTTGGCAAGGAAACAAATAAGCATATTTATACCATATAATTAGCAAACTATTCCTTTAACTGCAATGAATGTATGGTTACCATGTTTTCTGTTCCTGTCCCTCTCCCACTACCCACCACTACCTTCCAGCTCCTCCCAGCATCACCAGTTTATGGTCAGCTAATGTTACTGGAACCTCCTTCTGTGTCCACTGGTCCAGCCAGTTTCAAACAAACCAGACTTACCAGGTTGTTGTAAGCAAAGGGTCAGAGGTTATTCATTTTGGGGTAACCAGTCAGACCACAATGAAGGTAAGGAGACTGCACCCCGGGGTTCTCTACGACGTCACTGTGACACCTCATGCCTGCGGCGGACAAGGAGTTGCCCTTCGTGTATCCGTCAAGACTGGTAAGAACTGTGGACAAAAATTGTGACTTTGGCTTTTGGATTTCTTTTTATTATAAACAGTAAGTGTCATTAAGCCTTAATTTGTGCATAGAATAACTGTGTGGTGTTAAAATGTTACTCTTGCCCATGTTGAGTTATAACATGACGCACAATTTCAGTTTTAATGATAATCTTACAGTTAGTATTAAAAAAAGCTGTTAAATAGTTGTAATTGTAAATATCAGACTGGCACAAACCTTTATTTTCTCTGTGTGGAAGTATTCCCACTCTTTCCTGTTAAAGCACAACAACATTGGAAATACATTTTTTGAGCCACAGGAAAAGGAGCTGATGTACCCAGATTTTTAAAACATTCAACCACTGAATACTACCCCTGGGAGTAATAAGTAGAGCAATAAAATTGCCCTTAATGACTTAATGACTAATGTGTGATGAAGAAAAGAGTAAATTTTTAACCAGTTGGCCCAGAGCTGGTAAGAGGGCTTGCATTTAAATGTGGAAATGTGTTTATTGTACCAAGTAAGGCTTTTCTTTGTAGATGCTCAAACCCTTCACGCCACAACACGACTTACCAATATCCAGTTCACTGATGATCTGCAGAACACCAGCAGCCAGGCCTACAAAAACCTCACAGAGAGTATTATAGAGGAGGTGGGTGTGTTACGCAGATTATACAGTGACAGAATGTGTGAAAATTGAATTCCACACCCTGTAAACATGTCTATTTCTATGAAATAAGAACTTATCAAGTTTTGTTCTTTCATCCCTCACCCCTCATTATTCTGAGTCGGTCTGTTTCCTTCATCATCAACAGATCTACCAGTCTCTGTCTCCAGAGATGAGGGCCATGGTGGATTCAGGCCAGATGAGAATCGAGATCAGAAGCTTTTCTCCAGGGAGTGTGGTGGTCAACTTCACCATCACCTTCATCCCCAGTGAAAGCCAAGACAACAGTAATGTAACCACAGCTGTGCTGCACTCCCTGATGAACAGCACCAAATACACTGTGGATGAAAACAACACACACATAAACGGTATGCCTATTTCTATTCTCCTTTCCAACCATGTGTTTTACGAAACCTGGGCTGGTAGGCATCAAAATCATAGGAAGTGCTTCAAAGAAATTGTCTCAAATTGCTAAAAGTAAGTTTCAGCAAAGTCTTTGATTTTATGCATCAAGAATAGTTATTGAAGTAAGTAAGTAATTGAGTAAATTACTTAATCAAGGTTAGTACTAGTCAGCTTGTGAAAACAGGTGAATGGTATCTTCTGTGAATGGAGCTTTCCATAGTCAGTTTGGGTTTAGAGACTTCAGATTCTTATCAGAAAGCTTTTGTTACAAACTGGGAACAGGAGTTTAAATGGTGTAGAAATTTACAAGGCAAGGAGGCGATACCAGATGATGCTATTGCATTGTGGGAATTGTAGGGTGCTAGGTTTTTGTGCATCTTGACCAATACCAGGACCTATAAGACAAGCTTTCTCAGCCTCTGCTGCCTTAGTTTAAAAAAAATGTCAATACATCTCTTGTGAGTCTCCCAACTTTATGGTCTCACAGTGGTGCAACACAAAATAGCTAGAGTACATCTTTAAGTGCTGACCACAATGACATAAGGACTACATATGTTCAAAGTGCTTTACATAACGCATTAAACATTGAAAGGTACATATTGTTTCAAAGGAAACAGTTGAAAAAAGTGAGTTTTTATAGCTATTTGTGCTTTAGAAATAGAGATAGTTTCTGTTTTGTACCATAAAATAATACAATTTTGAATATGTGACAAACTAAAATGTAATGCAGAGGCTTATTCATGTCTGTTTTTTTGCATGCCAGGAACCTACAGTATAATACTAAAGACGTATTGTGCCAAATACTTTGCTTTTTGTAGACTGGAATGAATGTGCTTCAGGGGAAAATGACTGTTCCCAGTGGGCTACATGTACAAACACCAATGCCTCCTACACATGTGTTTGCCTTGACGGATTTATAGACAAGACCCCAGAAAGGCCTGGACGAGCCTGTGAAGGTATGGTCTCACTGTGCTAGTGGGCTTACACAGATTGATGCACAACTAGTAACAGGATGTCTTTGTATTTTGTGACCAGAGTGTTTTTTCTTGTACAGCAATCCCTACCTCAGAGACAATGACACCACCACTCATACCCACAACTTTTTCTATAGTTAGAGCTACCCCTTTCTCTCAAATAACTCCCCCTGCTCAAACTGCAACCATTTCTAGCACTGCAACCACCGCAACTGCCCCAACAACAACTATTCCTCCTACAGCTACCTTGACTACCCCAACGGACACCGCTACCTACACGGCAACCACCCCTAATGCAACGACATCACTGAGTTTTACCCCTACAACCCCAACGGACACCGCTGCCTACGCGGCAACCACCCCTAATGCAACGACATCCCTGAGTTTTACCCCCACTACCCGAACAGACACCGCTACCAACATGACAGCCACCCCTGCCGCAACGACATCCCTGAGTTTTACCCCCACTACCCAAACAGACACCGCTACCAACATGACAGCCACCCCTGCCGCAACGACATCCCTGAGTTTTACCCCCACTACCCGAACAGACACCGCTACCAACATGACAGCCACCCCTGCCGCAACGACATCCCTGAGTTTTACCCCTACAGAACCAACGGACACCACTATCTACGCGACAGCCACCCCTGCTGCAACGACATCCCTGACATTTGCCCCTACAACCACTGTTACCAACCCCACTACAACAACCTCAGCTCCTACCAGAGCATCTACGCAAGGAGCCATCTCAGTCCAGTGCAGGGTTCCTGCCATCACTGTGGCAGTTAGCAGGGATTTTCTTCGGAGCGCCAAGATCACGGAGAGTGCCCTACACTTGGGCTTGCCGGAATGTGGCGTTAACGGAGGCAATGACACCCATGCCCAGCTGACAGTAGCCTGGAATGAGTGTGAGACTAGACTTGTGCATGTGAGTTTTTTTCTCTTCTGAAAAAGTGTTGGATTTGGGGAAACTTGCATTTTCCTATGCTCTTATGTTTTGTAGACACTATTCCAGCCAGCATTGTGTCTCTCAAACTGAAGTGCATCAACATCTGTACTTGTGACATCTGGTATTTTAGAATGAAACCTACTACACGGCATCTGTGACCCTGTTCAACACCATGGATCCGTACACCTCACCCAGTGGAACTGTGGAGGTACCCAGAGTACGGCTGCAGGTTCCCATCATGTGTACCTACATGAAGAGCATGCTCACCTTAGCTGACTACAGCTCCATGGGGTATGCTTCATGATGTCATTAGCAGTTTTCAAACGCGCCACAGAGCAGCTGATGCAGTTAACATGAATCCAAAGAAATCAGATAAACAAATATAGAACTTTGTCACTGCTAACTCATATAATGAACAAATAGTTCTTATATATCTATATTATATAACAGATTGCACTTTGAAAATTGCCTGTGAAGTCCTTATTCATTATAAGAGCTCATCGATTTATGAGATACCAATCATATGAGTGAAACACACACGAAGAGTAGGGGTGATTGTGCTTTTCCCTGAAATATTAGCACATCAAGAGTTAGATGAGAAGACTGATACCATTCTATGTCTCTGGACAGCTAGCCTGGCTGTATCCATAGTTAGCACAATCTGCCTCAGACTAAAGCTCACTGCTAACTTCCTGGAGTCTATGCTTGTTGCCTGGCAACTGCTCCCAGCCAAGAAATAGGCAGGAACACAACAATTTGAGTTTGGTTTTTGTACTGATTTAACAAACGAGATATAACAGGTTAATTAGTGAACTTTGGAAGTGCTGTTAGGCAGATTCTTTTACAACATTTGAAATGTGTTCCTGTTGTATTATTGGCTGTATAGGCTACATATATATATATTTTTTCCTCCAGGTATGACGTGATCAAAGATGTCGTCATGGGCTCGGGGTCGTTCAAGGTGACGGTGCAGCTGATGAAGGATGCAATGCGTCTACCCCACAACTACAGCTTGTCCCCTGAGGAGGCTGTGGTGCTGGAGGTTAGCCTCAACACATCATCAGAGCAGATTAAAGTAGTCATCAACAAATGCTGGGCCTCCTCTACTCCAAACCCTGCTGACAACTACAGCCACATCTTCATGGAGAACAGGTCTGCTTCTACCTAACGTACAGCACTATCGCTATGTGTGGAGTTTGGAGTTTGCATGTTCTCCTAATGTGTGCGTGGGTTCTCTCACTGTCCAAAGACATGTGGATTAGGTTAATTGGTGACCCTAAATTGTCCTTAGGTGTGAGTGTGACTGGTTGTCTGTCTATGTGAGGCCCTGCGATGGGGGTGTACCCCGCCTTGCGCCCGATGTCAGCTGGGATTGGCTCCAGCCCCATGCAACAGGGTTGCATGGGGCCCGGTTGACAGTGGATGGATATTTGATTTAAAAATAGTCTATGTATTTGATAGGACAACTGTGGTAGTAATAGGTGTTGTTTTGTTATCACAAGATCACAAGTTAAATGTGTTGTTAAACTGGATAATTAACTTACCTGTTTTATTAAGAACGGAGATAATTTTGCAGGGAGAAAGAGCTAGCCTAGGACCTCACTAATTAACATGTTATATCTTGTTTGTTTAATCCATACAAACATTAGTTGTAGTGCTAGAGTGTTTCCATCACCGTGAGATTGCCAGGCAACCAGCAGTACAGGACGTCAGTGTAGTGGCTTGCCAAGAAATAGTCCAGCAGAAAAACCACATTGTGTCATTTTTTCACTTCACAGCAAACAAGATAAAATATATTTAACGAACATACATGAGAGTGAGACATTTTTTGATTAAGTCACACCAATGCAATATCTAAAAAAAGTGTCAACAATGATTAAACAGTCAATTAGTCAGTACAGTAACTCTATGTCAGTGGCTGGTTCCGAAAAGCATCTTCTCGTGGTATCATCGAGTCAAGTACCAGCAGGTTAGACAGTTGTCTGTGTTTGAAGCAATAAAACAAAAATTCTGTTTACAAATAGAACCAGATGATTAAATTTTGTTTGGGATTGTCATTTTATACTCAGTTTGGACACATTTTACAACCATATCACGCGCAGACAAAGAGTAAAAAAAAGAAACTGCAGCTTCAGTTTCTAAATTGCTTATCTCCGTCTCCACAGCTGTTCCCTGAACACGTACACCAAAGTGTTGATGAACGGAAACTCCAGCACATCTCGTGTGTCTGTTCAGATATTCTCCTTCGTCAACCTGAGCATGATCTATCTGCACTGCCAGGTCCACGTGTGTGTAGTGATAGAATCGACCACTTGTGTGCCTGTGAGTAGCCTACATCCTCAGATACAAACTTGTGGCTTTTATAGAGCGCAGTAGTCTAAAGCAACTACTGGCTGAAGCATCTAGTTGTTGAAAATTTGATTCGAATTTTCTCCTTTGTCACCTTTGCTCGTGTTTTCTTGCAGAACTGTCTACAAAGAACAGCTCAGTCTTCAAACAGGATTGGAACAGCTTTCGGTTCTTTCGGCCCTCTGCTGAGGTCAGGTAAAGGTGAGTGCTTTTACACAGAATAACAATATCTACTATAAAACGTTTCACTCTTCTGTGATGTGTGGTTCTATTAGAAACAACACATTTTCCAGCTGCCTGCCTCTGCTGTGCTTGAATTTGAGTCAAAAATGGGATTTAACTCCAGCTGAAGTAACAATGACACTTCAGCTTCTACTCTGCTACTGACCAGTTTTAAAAGTAGAACAGCTATCAAGTTCTTCAGGATCCATTATAAGCGTGAGTGTCTCCTCATTCAGTTTGAAAAGGCCATCTAGCTGTTGTATTTTAGCAAAAGTACTGCTGTCTCTATCATCAGTATGGCAAGTTTAAGTAGCTTGATGGAAAACACACATTTCAAAAGCCCCGAACTTGAAATATATTTCAGGCATTTGAAGTGATTTTTTTGTTTTGATGATAGACTCATGAGTTCAATTGAAATGTCAGCTTTTTGTAAATGTGCTGAATGAAAGACTTGAGATTAGTTCCTCTTACAGGTGAGTCAACCGTCCTGCTCCTTCCCTGTCTTCCTCGCTTTCCCAAACCTCCTCTCCTGTCACCCAGTGACTGGGGTAAAAGGCGAAGGGAAGTACTCAGAGTGACGCGATGACAATAGGAAGTTAAAGAGAAGGCAGACAGTAATATCAGACTAACTGAACATTTTGTCTTAACATCTGTTGTGTATCGTTTTTCTGTAAAAACAGCCAGTACTTATGTAAGTCACAGTAATTTAAATCTCTTCTCCATTGTTGTTGCAGTAGGGACTTTTCAATGAATCATCTTGTTTCCTTTTCACTGCATGTTTTTAATGCATTAACCCGACACTCATACTTGCAGAGCCCTTGGAGCAGGAATACGACACTCTTCACATAGTTGGAATCGCCTGTCTTGGAGTCGGCGTGACGCTCCTCTTCATCATTGGCTTCGCCTGCCTTTTCTTCTACCAAAGGAACCGCATTGGACACTACAACTTTAGCATGAAGCCCAAGCAGGAGAACTTCACATACCTTGTCTTTAACACCTAGGACTACAGGAGCACCCACAGCCATCGTCATAGGAAGAGATTCCGGCAGCAGCAGCAGCATGCATTTGGTAGGCTATTACAGTACGGCTGCCACCAAGTGGCACTGTTGCACCACTCATATATTAGTTCTCACCAAACATTGCACATATTTGCACATTATACAAACAGTGAAGTACAGATTATATTAAAAATGATAACTTGATAGAGTAGTTGCATACTGGAATGTGAAATATACAGACTATAACTATTTAATGAATATTTAACATTAGAACAATACCCATTGAGTATGGAGAATGTTTCAGTACATGGTTCACTTCCAACATTTATTATAATGTAACCATACCAGCTTGAACTGCATGTAGTTGTGTAAATTATAATTTGTAATGTAGTGAAATATGCTTAATATACACCATCTGCAATACCAGTCAAGCACAGCTAGCACTTTATTTGGTTTTAGCTGCTATTATCTTGTTGTATTTGCACTGAAATATTCATTCTGTTCTCACTTGTGGTGTGACAATAAACATGTCCTGTATGAATTCAGACACTTGGGGGTGCTGTTGGCACAGTTCTTAAGTCTTAAAAAACATGTTGTTGTGTTTACAGAGGACAACAAAAGGTATGAGATGTAAATGTTGTTATTATAACATATATAGTCTTTTTTGAAGTGGGTGGGGGTCATAGTGGGGGAGAGGGGTGTTACGTTCCTCTTTTAATCAGATTGGGGGTTAAGAAAAACATCTTGAGTAAGCCTTTCTCAGTCGAGGAGAGCTGAAGAGGAGGATCCAGCGTGGCCCCACACTTCCCATAATCCCACATTGTTGACTACAGGGTCATAAATGCAGCTCCTGGATCGACGGTGAAGGGCTGAATACTAAACAGCAGAGTCGTTCTCTTTGAGAGGAAGTCCCTGGAGACCTGTGGTGAAGGAGGGCTTACTACCATCTGGAGGGTTGCAAATGCTCCGCCTTCTAATTAACCCATTCAGCCTCACCGCCTGAGACCTGGCAACCCATCTCCATGGCAACAGCTCAGTGCAGGGACGGAGGGAAAGATGGATGGAGGGAGGGAGAATAGCAGTGATCAAAGGGGAGAGAAAGAGCGGGGAATGATTTAAGTTTAAAAGCATGAAATCAGCCCTTTGTCACTGACTTCCTGTTCAGATGTTATAATGCACATTTCTGGGCTTCAATTTCAAATTTCCACTACCTCTTTAAATGAGTGTTTTGGGACTGTTTTTTGTACAAACCTCAAGGTGCATCACTTATAACCTTACTCATACACAGAGGACACCAACTAGCAACAAAGCCCATTGTTAAAAGTGTTCAGCAAGTCATTCCCAAATTCATAAATCAGTCAGGCTTCGGGGACTAAAAGGCTGCTCCAGAGGAGAAGTTCATTTTTCCGCTCTGTAAACATATATTCTGGAAAGCAGCAGAGCCACATCCCTCATAATGGCTGCAACATGATCTGTGTCTCCACCGTTCTTCCTCTTTCCTCCCGCTCTTCCTCACATGCGTCTTTGTTCATCCAGGTCAAGGCGGCTCTGAGACAGTCATTCATTGTGCTGTATGCTGTGTGTGTGTGTGTGTGTGTGTGTGTGTGTGCAGGATATTTAGGGATCTCCAAAGGCTTTCACTCACACAGGTCATTACTAATTAAACATCTGTATTGTGTTTTTATACAGCAGCTCAAACCCTTCCTCCAAGCACCTGGACAGTGTAATGGATTGTAATCCTGAAATGTAAGCCGTGTAATTGTGGTGTCTAAGGACTGTTATACAATCTCATTTAACTAATTTAACTTATGTCTTTTAATTGTGGAATGTAAGTACATTTATTCAAATACAAATCTGCGGTACATTTTCATTTTATGCCACTTAAAACTATTACTCAATTATAATTCAAAGAGAAATATTCTGCGTCTAACTCTAGGGCAAAACTATTTAACAGCTGTACTACTTTACCAACATATTTCATACATAGAATTATATGAGAATGTAAGGAATTGTGTATAGGTTTAACTAACCAACAGTATACAAAGTAGGTAAAATGTGCAGCTTTATTTTACAGGTCCTGTTATTTCCTAAGAATTTTATAGAAACCTCCTGGAAAGATCTACGTCATTTAGTGCAACTTATCCTGTAGGTAAAGCACAGACATTTAGCTGTGTTTAGATAGTTGTGTTAAAGGGTCGTTGATTTGCAGAGGAACTTCATGAAAGAATAACTAAAATCTAAACACTAGCATTTACACTGAGTCCATTTGCCTTATAACTGGTAACAAAATATTACGTATCAGTTTCTTTCTAATTCCAAGAAGCAGTGAGACCTGACAAATAAAATGTTACCAAATAGGCTACACCTCGACCAACTACGGCAGTAAGTATGTAAGAAATGCAGTATAGATCTTTTAGAGTAGACCTGTCACTACAATTTCTCTTACTATAAACGCTGTAACACAACAGAATCGATGGTGATCCACTCTCTTCGCACAGTCCTCTTTGGATTTTGAATTATTTGTGAGTACTTCATCAAGATGGCTGACTTTCTGATTAAGACTGACAGATTGAGTGTTACTTCCCCTCCCCCATGGTTTGTTAAAGACAACAGTCTGTCAGTGAACAATTACACAAATTGCGGAAATCTTCGGCACCAATGCAAGTTGTGAAGCAGTGAGCTCAACTATGCTGCATGTGCACACTGTGTTATGTCTGTGTGCATGTGAGGAGGAAGTATAATCGTATATATTGTCATTGACAGTTTGCTATGAACCTAACCACAGTTATGAAGGAACATCTAATGAGGAGCAATTTGAAACTGTAACAAGCAAACAGCTTCATGAAAACCTCAAACCAGCTGCTTAGTCTGGTTTCCAGTCCTGTTTCTTATCGCTTTTTCACTTGTGCACTGGACTGTAAGCCATAAATGAAATATGAGTACCTGAAGGTTGCCAAAAATCGCTTCCAAAAATGCTGCTTGTGCTTTTTAAGGAAAGTAGGTAATCCATCGTGCTTTCCTTTTTGTTGCTGACTTGGACATCTGATCGAAGTGCACAGTAACAGGTTTAGACCTAGTTTTTGTCCAACATACTGAACAAGCAGGATAATGGACCAGCTTTATTTCCAGGCTTGTTTCAAAGTTGTTTGTTGGGTTAGTCTTGAGAGGGAGTCTTAGGGGTCGAACCTCAGTGTGTTTTTTGTTACAGACCGAAATAAGTCTAACACAGAGGTTGAAAACTGTCAAGTACTGAAAACTGGCATTGAATGTCTGGTCAGATTCAAAAACTCGTGACAATGTTTGACTATTTCATTCAGGCCAAGTTCCTGTATGGCTGCTTGTGTACAGACAAAATTGGGTCGGATTTCCCATGAAATCCATTGGTTTACGTAGGCTGTGAAGTCTCTGGGGTCTCTTGATTCTGAACTCTATACACAGCAACACCACACCTAACACCAAAACAAAACAGGCTCCCAGCACAATATAGACTCCAACCCAAAACTTCACATGAGGATCAAAACAACAAGAAAGTTTTATGTGCTGAAACCTGTCAGGCTAAACTGGAATCAGAATGACAAAAACACGGTCAACATCGTAAAGGCATTTGAGTCACAGAGAAACCTCCACTTTGTTTTCAATACAAAAACCGACCCAGAGCTTTCACCCTATTGGACAGGTAAACTAACATTACTGAAAAGCATGTGAAATATACTGTGGTTTTGTGCTTTAGTTGGCTCAAGTTCGATAATGTTATCTGTTGCAAAATACTACATTTGTATGGCTTGCCACATTACTTCACCAGCTAAAATGATCCACATTAGCATTCTGTGTACCACCAGTATTGTGTCAGTAAGTGTTGATTTTAGCCGGCAAGAAATGAAATGCAAACGTGGAATGATTCATTTATACAAGCCTACAGTGATGCAAGGCAGGGACAGCCAACTACTATAGCATCCGTCTCAGTCAATGTAATTTATGTGACCCACATAATATACAAAACAAAAAAAAAAAGTATAATTTTTTGATACATACTAAAAACTCAGGTATCCTATTGGAACTACTGTATATTGAACATTTTCAAACCATGCCAAGCCCTACCAGTTTAACCCCCCCGTTACTTAATGGGACATGTGTCACATCGCAAATTAAGGAGCCCTGTGCCTACACTACTCTCACTATCACTTCAAACCATACAAACCCCCTCTTTGAAAATGACTGACCATGCAACAAAAAGTACAATACACTATGGCAATCTGCAAGTTATGCTTATTTATTTACACTAAAACCGATTAATGTACAGTACAGTTTTTTGTAATTGTTGTGTAAGCACTTCATGGTGTGGCATATCTAATAATACTGATATATTCTTTTAAAGTAAGTTGCATGAAACCAGAAAATGATGTAGCACCTTTGCAATAATGCCATGGGTCAAACAGCTGTGACCTTAGAACCAAAAGCTGTCAAACATGCGTGTTTCAAATATGTGGGCTTCCTCTTGGATATGCTTTTCTTTTGTGTGGGATTCGCCTCTTTTCCTAATCCAACTTAGTTGCAAATACTAGATATTTACAGTACAGAGCAGCAGTGTATCTGCCTCCATACTGACAGGCAGAACTACTCAGTCTGGTTCCCATCTAGGGCAAAGCGTACGACCCCACCGCTCCTCCGAGGTTCGGGTCTTTCCAGTGGTGGTTGTGGTTCTCCTCCAGCAGCACCCTGGGAATGATGATAATTGGGTCGGAGAACCTCGTCTTTAGCATCTCTAGGAGGCAGCACATGGTTAAGATACCAGAGAAGAAGGAGACAGAAAGAGACACATGATGAGGCATTTCTCTCAGGTGAACAACAAGCCATTGGGTTGAGTTTAGCTGAGCACCCTGTGACCGCTCATTTCAGAGGAGAAGATCAGGCTTCTGTTTTAGGGCCGAAAAATCAACTAGAGACAAAGCTATAACATCACTACAGGGCTTCGTTGCTTATCACAAATATTATATAAAAATGCCTCAAGGCAATCTTGATAGAATTAAGTGACTTATAAATCATGTAATATAAAACTGAAAACTCAATAGAGTCCATAGGTTTAAATCTATACTTAACCCATTCCAGTAGTCACAGTGACATTATGAAAAACAGGATGCCAGTCGTGCAATGAGGGTCTCGGGGTGTTCTGTGAAACAATAGCTACAAGATGCAGTACACTATGGAATAATCCAAATCACATTTGAAAGGAAATAAATTAGCAGTACAAATTAGGGTGAAGATCATTAACATGCACTTACAATTCCCTTTGATCTCTCCAAAGCAGAGCCGCTTCCCTCATCCCATTCATACTTACCCCCTCCTCTTACATAACACTCAGACATTCTAGATAGGGTGAAACGTCTAGACCAAATGATCAGATTGCAGGTCCAACAGAAAACAGTGGCAGCATGCTTTAGAGACAGATTGAGAATGAAACAAACAAACATCGTATGAAACTTTTACTGCAGCAACAGCAAGCTAAGATGCAAAGTGCTACCGTCTAGAAGATGTGATTATGTGAGACTTGTCTCATAAATGAATATAAATGAGACCTCCCTGGGAGGGTAATTCAACAGTCATGCAGTTTATTTTAACCATAAAGAGTGCATTATAGCAGCTGACAGAGGCCCAATAATGGTTGGAGATGACTGGAATAAACCGAGGCCTCCTTAAGAAAAGGCACCTTAAGGAACCTTACATATAGCATGTGACAGCAGGCAGTCAGACAGCCCCATTCATCACCCCCCCCCCCATACTCTAGTGTCCATATGGAAGAGAAATACAGTGGGGCTATGACCTGAGCAGTAGACCAGAGATAATGTGGTGGTTCACCAGAAAAACAAAACTGTGCCACTGTAATAGAAAACAAAAGCAAATCACAACTCCATGAGCATGTATGAATGGGAATGAGTGGCATTTGTGGCTCGTGGTCTATATATTTTCGTTGCTCTTGTGATTGATTACCTGGGATTGGGTAGTGCACAGCCCCACAGGTGTTGCTTTAGAGTCTGCACCCAGCCAATATCTCGGATTGGCTGGCAGAGTTGTATGTAGTGGTACTGTTTTAGCACAACCCTTCAAATGAATCAGAATGTCACTCATTAGCACACGACAAATTGGACACACATCCACATCCAAATGTGACATCCTCAAAACCTCACATCATGACACCAGACTAAATGAGAAAGAACAATATGATCTCAGCAAATGTAATATCACACATTTGTGGGTGTTTTTTTTTGTATAAAGCTGCATCATTTGTACATTAACTAGAAGCATAAGAAGCACATGACATCTTATTCTGGATAAAAATTCTGGACATCCTTTGACATGCATGTTGCTCTATAAGTCGGATGAGTTCTTGGAATATATTAGAGACATGATGCAAAAATAATATATTCTTCAGTTCTCACACAAGAGCAACATGCAAGGCACGGAGAGGATGTCAGAGCTCATGCCAGAATGCAATCTTGGATAAGCATAGAAAGAAGTTGTGAGAGCAAAATTCTCTTCCATGTGGATTTACTTAATGTCGTTTGTCTCACGAAGACAAAGACTGGGACAAGAGAGACAATGACAGATACCTGCAACCGCTAATCTTTCACAAAAAAAAGCAAGAAGACACTGCTTTTTCTGCTTTTTGCATTTATTGTAATGTTTCATTAAATATAAGCAAGCAGATAGAAACACAAGCACGTCACAGTCATTTTTTTTTGCCCAAGACATAACTTTCTTTACCATATTTTCTATCCGTATTTGCCTAATAATCACAAAGATAGCACAGGGTGTGTGGTGTACTAAGCACCGTTTACATTTACTGCCCCTACACGCCCCCACCCTTGTGTTACATTACAAAGGGTTCCCCAACCAAAGGCTGCAAAATGCTAATGAGTCGGGCTCTAATCCCTGACGGGGCACGTGCTCATCTTGGATAGACATGGTGGTAGTGGTGATGGTTGGTGTCTCAGACACAGAATATAGAGACAGTACAGTTGTCCACTCAGAATGGAGGAAAGGATGCTGAGTAGCAGAACTAATGAGAACAGTGAGCTGTGTGTGGAGGGTGGAGCACAATGACGGGCTGACCCATGACAAGACTGTACAGTGCTATTCTAATCCAAAAACAAAGACATGTTAAAATGATGTCTCTCTCTCTCTATATATATATTTATATATATATGCTAAGACTTAGAGTAAGCAGCTAGAAGAAGCTAGATGCTTTGGGCCATGTGCAGACCCAGCCAGCATTTAGCCCTGCTTTCATATATAGACAGATATAAGCTGTATATACAAGGGAGGTTATAATTAGTTTTAACAAACAAACAGTTACAAAACAACTTACTTCATGTTCCCTTTTCCTTCAACACATCTCACTGAGGAAATTTGGATTACACCAGATTTTAAAAATGGAGGCTTTACACTTCTGGTATGCTTTTAGCTCTTACACACAAACACAATCCAGTGTTGAATCAACGTTTTAAAAATAAACTCATCCAACCAACATACTTTTTTTTTTACTTTTGGCCTGTAATTTGGTCAAAACAAGTACAACCATGTGGATTCAGAAACAGAGAGTGATGAAAATCAGAACAGTGGAGTCCAAAACAGAAGCAGTTACACTTGTCATCACATCCTTTAATGGCCCCTTATTGGGGTGTATTCAAATAAAACAAAGTATCAACAGATAAATCTTACTCACTCACAAGAAAATTAGATCAAAACAACTCCTTGTAAACAAATTTAACAAATGGCAGTGAATTGTTCATGAGTTATTTGGAACGTGAATGTGTGCTTCATCCATACAACTCCCTCTTTAAAGGTAATGTGAAAAGTGCTATTAGGCAGCATTATGAGCTATCGTCCCATGGCAGTCTAATCACATTGGTCACGGTCACCCTCGGCAGAGTGCATTTCAAAAAAAGCCAAAAGGAGGCGTGTGTTTGAGTGCACGCTACTGCTATTGCATAACTCCTGTGACGCTTTGCAATAAAGACCATGTAAGAGGTGATTACACTGAGTTATGACTATTGAGATTGACAGCTGTGCATGCTGTGTGCTTGGCAGACAGGATACAAAAAGAACCTCTGCACAACCTTTTCCAGCTCTACTGAACTCATCCTTCTCTGATTCTGAGAAATGTTGTTACTCTTATGTTAAATGTCATCACGGCCACACTACAGTATTATCTAATTTAGTGGGAATACTCATCTGCTATGTAAATGACTGGTGTTTAAAGTTTAGTGTGACCCAGATGGTTCCTTGGCAACATATTGGGTGTTACAAAATCACCCTGAATGAACTAAAATACCACTGTATGAATGGGTTTCACATGAACGGAGCAAATGCTGAATGGGTGTTGTTTTTTTTTAAAAGATGAACTGATAACAATTTTGTATAGCCTACAACAGAGTTCAGTTAAAAATGAGACATTGGATTACACAATCACATGGAACAAAGCATTGTGATATTGCCCAGCACAGATTTTGAGCCCTGTGAGGCTCTACCATGAACAGTAGCAAAGATGACAGAGCAGGTACACAACAAGCCGTGGATCAGACACTCATGACTAACCAAGCAGAACATTTATCAAAGATTTTCAGATTTGCTGTTAATTTAGCAAGTGTAGAAACCATATCCATAGCGCCAATTTGATTATCTTTTCTCCCAAAAACAAAAAGAAGGGGACAAAAATCCTTGATAAACTCAACAAAGCAATCTGCTCAGGTGATCAAAGCCAACCCTTCAGAATTGCTCGTCGGTGGGCCCATGCAACAAGAGTCATCCATTGGCTGGCCAGGCAGCCAGTAGCCATGGCAACCTGGAGATGGAGGCAAGCAAGTGGGGGTGGTGGGTGGCATCAAATGGCGGAGGAAGAGGATGCTCCCGCCCACTCGTTGCTATAGCGATCTAACAAAGCGTGAGGTGGGAGGAGCAATGACATGTCAAGTCTAAACCCCCAACATGTTATTTTATTATTATTGTACAAATTTAGCCAAGAGGTAGTGAAAGAGGACAGAGTAGAAGAATGAGTGGATACTGAGAGACTGAACAAAGAACAGAAGAAGAAAGAGATTGCAGGGGGAAGCAGAGGCAAAGAATAGAAAGAAAGATGAGAACCTTAATTAATTTTGCAGCCTATACGTTTGTTTTTCCCCCAAAAAATAAGAAATGAAAGGAGAAGTAGTGCTAAATGATTTTTACTCTTTTGCCTCAGCCAGTTTGTTGTTCATCTCTTTACTTTTCTCCTTGTCCCCCACCGCCGGCCGGTTCTCGGGCTGGTTCTCCGAGGTCGCCTTCTTGGAGCCCCTCAGTGCTGCGCTCTGCTTATCTTTGGCTTTCTTCACTGGCTTATCCCGGCCTGCGGCTCCAGGCTTTTTGGGTTTAGAGCGAGGGGAACTATACCTGTCAACCTAAGGATGTTGGACAGCGGAAATGAGATTCCTGAGCTGAAATGCCTGAGTTATGGTTAGTCATTTCTAAAACTGTGTTGTGCAATAAAATGAGCATGGCAAGAACTTCACATTATAGAAATACAAAATCTTTCTTCTCCCCTTCCCTAAATTCATTTTAAGCCATACTACAAAGTTCGAAAGGTGCGTTCTCACCTGGCTGGCAGGTTCTATGTAAGGCTCGCTGTACAAACTGCGTATCCTCCTTCTCTCCAGGGCCTTGTTGTTAGCAGGCTGCAGCGGGGCTTGCCCCTTGTAGGTGGAACTGTAGCTGGTCTCTTGGCAGCTCTTCCCGTCCGGTGGCAGGTACTGGGACCTGGCCCGGATCATCTTTGTCGGCTTCACATCCGTGTAAGCCTTGTACTCATTTCTGTGTGGAAAGAAGGAAGTCAGCTATCATAAGAAAATGGACTGTGTTGTAGAGCTTTAAAACCCCTCAAGAATGATTGTTAATAAAGAGGCATGTCAGTGCACAGGTGAGAGTGACAAGCTACCTCCTCTCTACCTAATTCATTTATGTAAATGCTTATGATAAATATATGCTAATATAGCCTGGAGACAGATAGCTTAGTATAAAGACTGAATGACTCCAAGGAGTCACTGGACAAGAAACAGTTCAGCACGTGACCCCCCATAAAATCACAACAAGAAACAAAACAAGCAGGAGGTAACGTGTTCATTTTGTAGCTTTAGAGATGCTGGCTGAAGTCTGATTTTGTTGCCTTTGAACAGAGTCATGCTAGCTGTTTCCTCCTGCTTCCATCTTTTACACTAAGCTAAGCTAACCAGCTGCTGGCTCTAGCTTCGTATTTAGCTTATGAGAATAGTGTCAAGACAGCAAATAAGCATATTTCCCAAAATGTCTAATTATTCTTTTAAAACCAATCAAGAATCTTGTTTGTTTTCTAATAAACAACAGCTATAATATTTCCCATTCACTTTTATATTGGTTCAGTGTACATTTTCAATGTTTGTATATTTTATAAATACTATTTTGTTAGTTTTGCAGCTGATATCTGTGGTATAATTAACATTAATATTGTATCTGATGTTTGCTGTCTAACTAACTTGCTTTGTTGGAACATCATTAAAGAAAATCTCTATAAAAATATGTGAGGTGAAGTGGTGCATTACTGCTGTAGAGCAGAGTATGTCAGAGGTACTGGAGGTGGGAGGAGGTCTGCACCACAGTCTGATGGTGTGATATTTTGTAGTCCTCACACAGCAGTTCTGAAGAAGGTCAGCAGTATGGCATACACACAGAGCAGGCCGGCCTGCAGCATGTGTTCTGTGTCATTCTCCTCACATTTAAAGACCAATGCATAACTGTACCACAGAGGACAACCACAGCAGCTTAATACCAGGCGCATAATAAAGTCATGTACTTTAAAATTTCACACTGCATCACACTTTCCCTCTCTCCTTTACTTTTCTCTGCAGTGTTCCCTCAGCATTACACATCCATTCATTTGCTGTAAACTACCATATGTTATAGAACAACAGCTGTTTTCGTTATTGATTAATATGCTGATTATTTTCTCAATGAAACGATTACTCATTTGTTAGATAAAATGTATGAAAATTGTGAAAAAAAAATCTCAATTTTCTTGAGACCAAGATGAAGCCAACCAACAGTTCAAGACTAAATGTTAGACAAAGAAAAGCAGCAAAACCTCATAATGTAAAAACTGGAACCAGCTTGAGCTGTACCCTGCCCTATTGTTATAAAATAAGAAAACCATTGAAATTCTGCTTACAGCAATGCTGAAATTTTCCTTACAGAGGACACTAAAAACATGCATTACTATTGTGGAAAACAGATAAGCTGAAATGTGCCTTTGCTTGAAATGATGCTGCTGCTCATAGTTTACTTATCTATCTGGTCAATTTGTATGAACCTTGGATTTCTCTTTGTTTACTCCTGTTTTTTTCAGCCGGAAACAAAACAAATACATTTTCTCTTGTGATAAAGGTGTACTTTGTCCCAACAGACAGCTCTATAGAAAATGAAACAATGGACAATGCCAGCATGTAATCCCAAATCACTTGTCTAACTGTTATAAACCTGTTAAATCTGTCAGAGAAAGAAAAGGGTATGTATGTACACCTACACACATAAGAATAAGAATAATTTTTATAGTGCCTTGCTCTTCCTGAAATAGGCCGCCATGACACTGTAGCTAATTACAAAAGAAAACCGACAGCTCTCTGGTTTAGGCCAGTCAGATGACACCCATCAGTCATCCCCTGTGGCTCCAGTGCAGTCACAAGCACATATACTGTCCAACCCCTAACGAAGCACAATTCTGTGCAACCACCGAGAGCCACGCGACTGAAGGCTCAGTGAGAAGTCGGCAAAACCAATAGAGGAGCAGACAAGGCCAGGCTTCTGTACTCTCATTAGAACAATTTGTTAGTCATATGGGAATACATCCAACTGGCAGCTATGGGAAACAGCCTTGGACCATGTGATCCTGTTTACTGTAGTGCTTGTGGCAAGGACAGGCGCAATGGTTTTCCATCTTTTAATGTCTTACACTGAGAAAAGGGTTATGAAACTGTAGCTGACTTGTCCAACTTTGCATCGCAGTGTGAAAGCTGTGTTCCGACCTCAAATGTTCTTGTGGTGGAGCGAAACGATAAACAACAGGTTGTGTGACTTGTGAGGCACAGTCCTGGATTTAAAGGATTTATAAATCAGTGGTAAAAAAATAATTATAATTTTGTGGTAGCTGTCTTTAGTCGTACCTTTGTTGGTACAACAGAACCTATACCTTGGACGACCCTACAGCCATGCTAGAATCTCTGTGGGGCTGTGCTTAGACACAGCGATGCTTTGAGCTAAAAGCTAATATCAGAAAGCTAACATGCTAACATTAACACTAAACACAAAGTACAGCTGAGGCTAATGGGAATGTCATTAGTTTTGCAGGCATTTGGTCATAAAGCTGAAATGTTGCCCTGATTGATGGTGCTTAAGGTAAAGTTAAGGGGTCACCAGATTTTACAGTTCAGTATTACTATTCATAAACAGAGAGACAGACAGACATCTGTCCACCATCCCTAGTGCCATGACACTAGCATGGCTAAAATATGAATTTCATGGTACAGTATGTTATATTCTTTCATCAAAACTTTGTGAAACTGTGTGATTGTAAATGAGGACCATCCCTCAATGATCTCTCAAGTATAACTAAAGGTTGAATGAAATAAATTAATCACAACTTAAATTAGCTGTCGGGTGCTAATAGGCTAGCTGTTCATGTAGAGGTGGAAATCACACAGAGAGCGATTACATAACAGAACTGAAGTCCACTTTCGATGCCCGACTGGCAAAGAAGCCGCATTAAAAAGACAGGTTATACAACAATGTCCAAGGCCAAGGGTATAAAGCACTCACATGACACCACAGGGTGTGTGTATGTGTGTGTATAAGAAAGAGAAAGAGATAGATTGTGGGTGCAGACAGGGTTCACAGTGTGAAACACCGGTCTGTACTATAACATTGCTGCTATTCATGGACATACTACTGTGTAACAATACAGCCTGTGTGTCTGAGGTCAGTGTGTACTTGGTACTTGTTTAAAAATGAGTGTTCAAAACATGTCCTTGGTTCAGTGGCTGTCACGTCACAGAGCTGCGTCTGCTGCATCAAGCTGCTGTACACATCATGAGCGTGAAAACATTGTGAGGTTCACATAGGCTGTTCCCTTCAGCTCTAAATAATCAATTCCTCTGGATTTAGTTACACTGGCATTTTACTGTGCAACACTGAAACTAGCAGTTCCCTGACACTGTACAGAACAAAAAGACACTGAGGTACTGAGCATGCTTGGTAAACCTTTTTGTTTGACTGTATTTGACTGTGGCAGGAAGAAAAAGGGTCACTGTATACATCCAGAGGCATTTTTTTATTTTTTTTAACATGTGGACATTAATTGGTGACTTAGATCGCCACAGATACTAAATATACAAAACAACTATCTATCTATCAAAACAATGTTTTCTCCTATACATACAATAAAATACAATATAGATACATATAAAACTACAACCAACTTCTCTATTCTATTCTGTTGTTCAGCAAAAATACAAATAATACAATCTTGCATCTTCACCCATGGGTGAAATTTAATCCAAATTTCTCAGTACAAAGCAAATTCTGTAATCCTACATCATTCATTCATCCTTTAACTGCTTTTAAAACGGAAACAGCCTCAGATCCCTGATGAAGACAAAGTAGCTGAAAGCGTTTGATGAATAAAGCATGGTGCACTGGAGAAGAGTTGTAAAACATGTTTTAATTTTGGAGTTGTACTGAGGCTCACACTGCTGTGTGTCCAGAGGCACAGTGAGGATGCTAAAGTGTATATAAGGACTTCCTTTTCAGAGCATATGAAATGTGTTGGCTGGTGTTTCATTGTCATTCACTGAGTTGTCAGTTTATTTTTCAATGTACTGCAATCCAATAAGTGACCCAGCAATATTTTCATTGTTCAACTGTGTTAAATAAGTGAAAGGTGTTTCTAATATCTCTGCTCTGCTCATGGGATGTCTGTATGGGGCAGCCAAAATGATCAGAAACACATTTCAATTTAACGTATCCTTGGGCTGCAACAAATAATTAATCTACCAATTATTTACTTGATTGACATATGACAGTTTCTTAAAGCCCAAGGTGATGTCTTTAAGTTGCTCAATCAAATGATTAACTATTTCAGTTCTCTGGGATTGTTATGTAGAGCAAATTTAAGTGTTGAATGTCCCTGGATTTATAAAAGAGATGGTGGTACAAATTTAAATCGTGCTTAAAGATCACTGTCAGATCTACTGTATCCCACCACTACAGTACAGCAACCTCTTCATTAGCACTTCAGTTTCTACTAACTCTAATGACCCACAAAATGCCACATGATATTGTTAACATTCACAAAACAATTTAAAACATTCAAAAACATTTTAAAACTATTTATATTTCATTTCAAATAACCTCCCCTTCTATTCTCTCGTGCTATTTTTCTTTTATCTATATTTATTTCTGCATCTTCTCCTGAAGATGTTTTTCAGCTCTGAGTCACTGAGGACCAGGCAATGCTATCATACTGCCTGATATTTCTTGCTGTGTGACTAAAGCTACTTTGAACGGCTGACCCTACTGACCCGCTGTGGTGGAGGGGATGTGCAGAGAAAGGTCTTGTCACTACGGCCAAACACTGGCACTGACAGGGGTGGAACCACGCCAGGGTACAGCACTGCTGAGCTTCATGCAGCCCTGCTCTAACATGACACAATCTGGACAACTCACCAAGGGAGAGTTAAGAGAGAAAAGAATAAAAACAAATGCCTGCAAATTTCTGCACATTTGGATCA